TTGGGTGATCAAAATGTGAGCAATGTGATCTTCAACTATTGCTCTTGGTGATGATGGACTAACCAAGTCCAAAAATACATGTTCTCCACGAATGATGCGGTGTTCCCAGGGTAACATCAATTCCTGTTCCCAACTTGACGGATCATTTCCAATGTGGGCAATCCTTGGATCACGACAGCTTGTTGCAGTTTGATGGTCAATAAACCAAGTGTAAATGGGGAACACAACCTCAGTCTGATCATCATTTGGCAATTGATCCACATGCCTCTGCACCAACCTCTGCAGATCGATGTACCAATCCTGAGGAATACTCTCGTTGGTAACATCGCTGCTGTCATTGTGATAACTTTGATTGACAGACGACGACGCGCAGTCTGACGCCTTCTGCATTAGTTGTGTTTCATCATAGAGGTCAACACTGTCTGCCAGCAGATCCCTGATTTCAGAGTCATCTAACAAGCTAGGAGACACACCAGATACCGCATCTTCATTATAGATTTCGTCATAAATTTGTTGGTCGGATAGACCTCTTTGGGTCATGTCTGCGATGGATTCCGTGGGACACGAAAAACGATCAGATGGCGGCACTGCGATTCTGATGTAGTCTCCATGCGCTATTGTCTTGCGATCAAGGTCATAATCTGGCCATCTCCTTGTGTTGATGAATACCAGGCATCGACCATTCTCAGACCTGCAATACCTGTCTACCTGTGCTTTGTAGAGCAGCTCATCTCTGCTGGCTACAGCTGGAATCGGAACCACCTTTCTGACAACCATTGGGCCACCTCTGAAGTGCGGCTCGGATCTGTGAGCATGATACTGTACATCGAGCAGAACAAGCTTTTGACTGGAACCCACCGGAATGTCATTCTGAACATGCACAACAGTTACAGCTGCTTCATCAACGAGATCTGGTGGTGTCACAGCGACCTCATAGACATCAACAAGGTCATCCCTGTCAATTGCGAAATGATGGGCAATTTCAGTCATCATCCCCTCATAACTGTTCCAGTCCACCAATGCTTTGACAGGCGGATCCTCTAGATGAAACAACAGCATTTCTTGTTTTCCTCCTTCGGAACTGGGGGGCCTAACATGTGAACTTTGAGAATCCACACTAGGAGAATATCCACTGGACTCAAACTGATCCGACCCTTCAGAACCAACTTGTTGATTTTGAGGCTCTGCGCGTCCTTGCTGAAAGGAAAGCATCATGTTCTCTTGCTGAGTATCAAAAGGAGAATTCTTAAACGCAATCCCAACTTTCGATGAAATCTGAACGTTGGAGGCTTCATCTGGATCCTGAGGGGGAAAATTCTCTTTCCCGCCAGTTTTGGCCTTCTTGATTGCACTTGTTGCAAATGTATTCGGTGAGCTCGACACGGCCATTTGTGACAGCGGAGCACCAACCGAACACAAAAATGCACTTGATGCAGGAATATCGGACATGTGTTTGTCGGTAACATCACGCAAAACATGAACATTGTGTGATTTGCCGGAAACACAACTTGGGAATTGTGCATAGATAGAAATGAAATCACCACTGCTAACAGGAAAATCCTCCTTGAAAACAGCTGCGCCATTAATGAACCAATTCAAAATCCGCAATTGGATGCGGGGACCGAGAGGATGAGCCGCAAGTTTACAGGCTGACGTGATGTTTTGTGTAGCAACTACAAAACTGATACATCTGCCATTTTCGATCTGCTTTTCATTGTCTGTGAGATACAAATCAACACGAACAAAGACTCCGCTCGAGTCCTCTAACAATAGAACCTCCACATTACATTCATGTCCAGCATAGAGCAGATTGTGCTGAATCACTGCCTGGATGAAAGGTTCTGGCCCATTGGGAAAGGCGTGATGCCAAAGTCCTAACACCGTGTCCCGCCATCCAGCTGGATCTTCGTCTAGATAAACAAGCTTGGCTTCTGACCGGTTGCAAAACCCTGCCGATCCAACCGGCCAAGCGAGTACAGACTGTCTACACAATGTACCTGAGCTTTCTCTACGAACTGACAGATCATTGAGGACATCAAGGGCCCATTCTGGAATGCTGGACAAGTCGGATGCTTCACTGACGCAATTGGGAATTGAAATTTTGAGATTCGACTCTTTTGGGTAATTGAATTGTTTGTCACTGCACTCTTTGGTGAAATCGCAAAATGGATAAATCAGGTTCGTGAGCTTCCTCCAAGAAAACTTTCTGCTAGGAGGATCAGGAACATAACTCCAAGGCTTATCTCTCCATCCATGCAATTCATTGTGTGCAACTCTGGTAAAGTACAAATCCCAAGCCTCATCACCTACAAAAGCAAGTTCAATACAATCATCAAAATGGACACGCAACTTCTTGCGACGAGCATTAAGTGGTTCTTGAGAACTGCAAACCTCCGGCTTATATGGGACGGAAAACGGATTGGCACAACAAGGTAAAGCTTGATGGGAATTGGCTTGGCACCATTGATGCGAAATGACCTCACCTCTCAGTTTCCATGCGCAGGATATCGCTGACAACGGACTTAAATAGTCCTGCTCCCCCGTCACCGAATGTCCGTGTGGAAACATGTATGGCCAGGCCGCCAGGCCTCATGAGATTCATTTTTGGAAACTGAAATCCCACGGCCGATTTTCACTGCCTGGAAACACTGCCACCCGGCATTGCGGGCTCGACAGATCTGGGCCTTTTGTGGTGAGGAACTGTCTCCTTGTCTTCGTCTGACACCTCCTGCACTTGAGTGTCTGACGGACCAGCTTGAAGGCCTAATGACCCTGCACATGCTTTGAGCACCCCTTGTAGCTGATCTCTGAGTTTTTGTTCTTCGTGGTCGACATTGTCTGCATTGGCATCCTCTGCCTCCTCCATAATGGGTTGGGGGATGGACAGGTTGCCTTCCTTTACTGCACTGTCGCTCACTTCCTTCAGGATCTTTCTGGAGGCTTCGATTTCCAATCTGGCCCTGCTCGCATGCTCTGACAATGTGGCCTGATGGACCCGATAGCTCTCCAGCTGTGCTTCCCATATTTTGATACCTTCGCCCACGTGCTTGGTCCACTGCAGGCGATGGTCCTTCTTCGCTTCCACAGCTTCTCGAAGGGCTTTCTGTGCATGGTCTAGGCTCTTGGTAGCCGCATGCAGCGACTTGATGTTGTTCTTGGTGTACTCTTTGTCCGCTTTCTCCAGAAATGCTTGCACTTCGGAAGGAATAGTCTCCTTCTCTTTGTAGCGTGACGCAAATGCGCTGCCATCTCCTGCATTGTGGAATTCTTCCCAGACTGAGCAGCCTGGAAGGGCGACTGAGAAGGCTCCGGAGCATTCCATGCAGGCCATGGTGGTAATGGCGCAAAACCACCTTTTCCCTGGCCAAATGGGCTTCCTGATGCTTCTGCCTTTGACATTCCCTTGTTTTTCCACTTGCCTTTTCCTTTGCCTTTTGCATTTCTCTGTCGCGGAGAGAGAGTATCCTGCCATTGACTTCTGCCTCTCGGTGACTGAGAGGACTGCCTCACACTTTCTGTTTCTGCCCAATCTTCCCATTTCTGCGACTGTTCCCAATTTGAATCCCATTTGTCCCAGGATTCGCTCCACTGGGAGGTGCCGCCATATGTATTTGGTTTCGGAGTGACATCGTGTTTTTTGCCTTTGGTCCAGTGACCCCAGCATACTGCACATACGTCCGCTGATTTCTTGTTCAGTCGCCCACACGGGCAGACCCATGGATAAGCTTCTTCTGCTGCCATCTTTGCTTGAATTTCTGCTGCAAGCCTGCTCAGAAAACAAGAATCTCTTGAATGGTGCTTGGTGAAAACTTTCCTGATTCGAATCAGTGAGGACGAAGCAAGGGAGATTTTCCCTTTTCGATGCAAAAACCACTGCCTTCTTGCAAATGCCCTCCGGCGCCTGTCCTTGCGCCTCTGGGTATTTGAGATTCCCTGTAGCAAAATCTTGGACACTGGTGAACGCAACAATGACCAATAAGAAAATCAGTAAAAAGGAGCACATTCACCGATCCAGAAAATCCAAATTAAGCAACCTTTCCCGACAAGCAGCCCACCACGAATTGAGATTACCACAAAACGGTTGTAGGCCCCCGCAGTGCCAGCGAAAAATCACAAAATATTGAAACTTGTACCAACAACCCAAACCAAATAAGATCCAGTGGCCTATCAAAAGGCAGCAGAGGTTCAAACAAGATTCGAAGAAGTTGTAAATTTAGGGTTTTAACGGCTAACCCCCAACCGACTTCTGGTGAACAAGAGAAGGCCTCGAACCAAATCCCCAATGGCAGATAAGCGAACGAAGCCCGCGGGTGGCCACCACACAACCCGCTTAGGTAAAAGGCGTATTTGAGCCGATACCTTAATAATCCTTAATATACATATCATATAAATATATACATATCATATATATATATATAATTATATATATATAATTATATAATTAGTTATATATATATATATATATACGTGTAGTTGTTATATCATTTATAGATGATTCCCCCCGCTATAAATCTCAACTTATAGATCATTGTTATTATATTTGTTTTCCGGATAGTTTTTGAAGTGCTACTTCTCATCAACAACAGCAGCAGGCGAAATATGGATACATCAAAGCTTACCGAGCAATTGGACGGATCATCGTCATCAGTTTAGATCCTCAAGTCATTGGCTCAAACTACGTAAATTCAGATGACTGGAGTCAAAGATTAACCTTACTGATCTATGGTTTTAGTAATAAGGTCAAGTCTTTCAGACAAGCCATTGATATTCCGCGATCACAATCATTATAATATGAATCATAACTCGCATATACTGTAATAATAATGATATACTAACATAATAGCCATTAACAATATGATCATAGTCATTATAATAACTAGCATAATGATATACTAATTAGATCTAATTAGGCCATTGATATTATACTATCATGACTAAAGTACATTGAACATCAACGATGAATGATCCTCAAGACACAAACTTGGCCACGGTCTTGTGAGGTGTGGCCAATCTGGTTTTGCCCATCTGCAAGCGGAAACTCGGCCTGAAGGGCACCTATTTCTTGGGAGCTTCCGTGGGCATCGTGGCTTGCGGCCTGCTGGTGCTGGGCTGTTTCCTCGGGGATTTCAGCTGCTTGGCATATTAAAGGGCTGGTTAGGTCATGTCTAGGATTAATAACCCACCAGTTTGAGAATAATAGGGATGATACTGTCCTAATTTGTGATAGTAATGACTATTTTGGGGGTAACCCCGGCAATTAATGATCAGGTTTTTTTGAGCTGAGTTGGCAATTTTGGGGTTGTCAAGATGAAATGAAGCCTTGAGTTGAGGTTCACATCCCATACCAGGAAGGTTTTGGGGCCTTGCTAAGGCACCCAATGCATTGGAAGCGCTTTGCTTGGTTTCAGCTTGAGCTTTGCTCAGAACTATCGCTTTGTGTCAGTCTTGCGTCTTGGCGTGACTGTGGGTATGATACAGCAAAAACTGGATGTAGACATTGATCGTTGTTGTCAGTTGCCCTTGCCGTGGTGTCGGACGTGGCTGACATCTTCTGCACGCTTGACCGATTCATTTGTCTAAAGATCAAACGCAGCCCTAGCCAGCCAACCAATACCGATATCACAAGGCACTTGATTTCACACTCACAATCAGCAAACCGCTCAAATCTATTCAAATCTGAGATTGGCCAAACAAGGCTATTCCCCTAAAATCCACATCGGCTTAGCATTTTCCTCATTGAAATTGCCATATATATATATATACATATTCGATCATATTCGGGTAAATTCCCGACGCTGGACAAACCCGAATCTGCGAAACTTTCCATAACTTTCCAGGTCACCTTTGAAATGAGCCATACTGTACCCAAAAATATGTTCCCTGACATTCCCAAACATTGCAACATCCTCTTTATTTTCCCTTCAACTAATCCATTGATACGGGCTTGTCTGAAAATCATTGGAAAAGCCCTAATTCCACAAGCTAATCATCATCCGTCTTAAACTCACCATAAATTGGGCCTAATTCCCCATTGTCAGAGCCAAATCCGTGAAATCCCTGTTCTTGATGGTTCTTGATGGTTAGATCAGTTAGATCCCATTTTTTGGCAAATCCCAAGTAATCAAGAAAAACCATAGAGTTCCTGAGGTTACTACCTTCGAACCCAGCCAGTGCCGTGTCTGCGGTCCTCTTCGGAGGAGTTCTGGGATCCCTACTGGGACCAGGTGCTTTAGCGCAGGCGCAGCACTTTGACATCTTGACCATCCATAATGGCTTGAGGATTGTCTGGGGATTTGGATTTGGGGATTTGACTATCCAAAATTCGATCAATTGAATCATTCTTGTGTTTTAGCATCCCCTCAAACCCCACATTCACCCATGCCCAAATAGCACACCCAGACAATACTGGCAATACTTGTCACCAGAGGTTGAATGAACACAGTGGCAATGCGCAGCGATTTTGACTTTCGACTTTCAGGATTTCACATTTTGCAGCGATGTTTCAACCCTCTAACATGGGGATATCATCCGGAAATTGCATCAATCATCCAGGAGTTTTTTTCCTGGTTGATATATCCATTTTTTATCCATTTTTTATCCATGAAACATATAGCTATATCATCCAGAAGTGATGCCAACCGGGCCGGATTTTTTTTGGCAGATCGGTGGAATCTCCCCTGATTCAGCGCTAGGCAAAGGATCTATTGGAAGTGCCCTTCGCTGGAAACTCGGCTGTCATTGGATACATCAAAAAAACCTGATTTGATGGACTTAAGTCATGTTAATGTCCCTTGCCATATTCCATTTATAATATGTGATCATTATATAATACATATATATATATAATATATACATATATATATATATACACTTAAACAATGTTAAATACATCATATCTATTCTTTTGATATCCATCGATATCCATCAATGTAATGCTTAAAGTTTCAAACCAAAACCTCTAGAAGTGACTCAGCTGACGCGACGTTCCTCAGGGCTGCGGGCTGAACGTTCACAATGTGCTTGGGACACACCGCGACCATTGGGAATTACCATTGGAACGTATCCCTTAACAAGTAATTTCATCATGATGTCATGCTTCAATCAACGAGTAATTTCATCATGTCATGCTTCTAGTTTCATTTTCATGTGGTAAATATTGGCAAACCCCTAGCAAAGCGCAGATTTGCCTCTGAGGAATCTACCTGCTTGGTGGATGTGTCTTCGTAGCAACTTGGCATTTTCGCGGCGTGAGAAGGGCTCCGCCTGGCAACAGTGACCTGATTTGATTGATTCAGTTTCTTGATTATCTATACAGTATGATTGCAAGACATTCAGGGAAAAACAGATAGAACAGTCCCAAAACTGCTGTCCAAGTTGCCAATTTGGTGATACTCACGTGCTTTCCCTTCCTGGTCCTTGTGCTTTGAACGCGCTGTTTGAGAGGCAGTTGAGTCCCCACTGAAAAGCAGTCGATGATGAAATCAAAATCCCCATATTTCTCGGTGAAACACACGGTCAAATCATGTTTATCCGGGTAAGAATTAGTAAGAATAGATACTTTTTCTATCTTTTTCTTGGTTCAATGGGTGAAATCAAGTTCAATCCAAATTCTTATCAGAGTCCCTTGTTGATATGTTGGTGAAACATATCTATATTATATAGAATCACTTTAAGATACCCTCAATTTCTCCAGGTGTTGCTATTTTTCGTTGTTGGCCAGGTGAGTCTCGTCCTCATCGCCTGCGTGAAGTTCCCCCCGGTGGTTTCTTCCGCGGGAAGCAGCGACGCTGAAGCGCCACGTGCTCTGTGCCGCATCTTGCGACAGCCCAGCTGTTTCGCAGCGATCTTGACGATGGCTTCATCCTATAGACGCTGGGCCGAGGATCAAAGTGATGAATTTTGAGGTCTGATTCTTATGGTTGCAATATGTTACAATGAAGTATGAGTAGAATAGTGTCATTGATGATCATTGATGTCACAATTACAAATAAACGCTACCGCCACAGCTACTGCTACTGCTGCTATTCTTATATACGATTTCTGCATATTTCTGGGATGATTAATATTGTCATGATTGCTTTCACTATTACTACTTAGAAATTTAGAACATATATATATATATAATTATGTATTCTTGAGCTTTGGATGATCTTAAGATGAAACCGGATCGAGGACTATGACCCGACGAGCTCATGCTCTGATTTAGATTTGCATTCACCGTGTCCAGGAGACAAAGTCAGTTGTAGCTAGATCAGTAGGTCAATCATCAGCTGAACCGTTGACGTACTGATGAAGTGAAAAAAACGACATAAGTGAAAAAAAAACGGGTATTTTGACGTACTGACCCACGGTATTTTGTACTGACCCAGATACAAAAACCGCTCCTGCATGGCCAAGGCATTATGCTTCTACTCATGGCTCCCACGCCTGTGGTGATGCAACAGTGCCTTGCCTCCAAATGTGGATGTTTTTGAGCAAGTGGATGAAACAGGCTTGTTGTGTTGGCCTTCTGCTTTTTTTTTTTAAATGTTTTCTGGTCTCTTTTCCGAGTCTGGCTCTTGCACGATGGAAGTAGCTTGTCAGATCGTGACACTTGGCTGTTCAGCGAATCGAACAGCGCCGCATCCAATGAAGGTACTACAACCATGGCTACGTGCCCACAACTTTGACCATGATGGGACACATGTTCTGCATGTTTGCTCCCTCACCTTTGACTGGCAAGTTGGTGAGTCGCTTCGGAAGCTTGAAGGCTGGTTTTTGTGAATCACATTCTATTCCAAAGAATATCCCATTCTATCCAATTCTATCCATTATCATTACATCATCCCAGTGATTATCCCAATGAGATCTCACCATCTCCAAATTGGTCAAATTCTCCCCGGACAGGTGATTCAGTCTGGCCTCATCTTAGCTTGCGCCACGGCCATCATTCTTTGGCTCGAAAACGAGCTTTGGGCCTTCATGGTGGCGTTGCTCGGCCCATGGTGACTTGGGGATCCCCCATTGTTTGAACCCCATCTTGTGGAAATAGTTGGATGTGTTTTTTTATTCCAAAGGTGAGACATATTGATGATCTTGTAGGCAGATTGGGATGATTTTTCTTTTTTAGTTTACAGATTTACTCGCCCCAAAGACGGGACATATTGATGAGATTGAGGAAATATTCGGATTATTCGTAAGTGGATTTGTCCAACGATAGGGAATGCACCAACATGGCCATTCCCAGTCTGTGGGATTTTGGATCATTTTGGCGTTCCAGATTTTAAGTCAACATAGTGAACCCAACATGGATGACTGTTGAGATCTGTTGAGTATAAGATCGATGTTTTGGTGGTCTTGTGGCCACAGATTTCTGGAAGACTGAGCCAAAGCTGGCTAGAAGTCGTTGAGTTTCTCGTGGGGCGTTTGCAGAACGGTCCGATGTGATACATTAGAAGATCATAGAAGCATGTGGTAAATGAAACAACATGAGAAAAGACTCTTAAAGAGTAGCAACATCAAAGCAAGCGATAGCCTTCGAGAAAGTCAAAGCAAGACCAAGATTTCCCTTAAGATCCCTTAAGTATCATTAAGAACAATACAAACATATACAAACTATGGGCATCAATGACAGCATCAACTAGCCCAATGCTGCTCAGGATGGGTCTCCTGGGCTTCACCTGGAACTTCATGTTCTTGGGAGGCTGGAGATGGAAACATATCATGAATCATCATGGGTATTCATGGGTCATGGATCATCATGAATCATTAAGAACATTTAAGAACTGTCATGACATATTATGGACATATCATGGACTTGTTTGAAGGAAGATTTTCGCGAAATCCGTGTGCTTTATCAACTTATACAAACTTTATACCCCAAGGTTGGGTAAAGTGCTGCATCAGATGTTTGTTCTAGATCTGATCAGAAAACTGTGTTTCAAAATTATGTTGAAGATTGGTGGTGTCAACCCAGCAGACATCATCACGGTCGGTAGCAAGGTGGTGCCTCCTCCCCAGTTATGTTTGTTGGTTATATAATATTCCCCATGAACTAGATCAATATATCTAGCATAGATCATCTACCATATAACCAGCAGATTTTGGAGTTGTGCTTGCCACCTCACCCAACAGCTATTGGAGGTATGTTTACCAACTTAGCCTATATATATATATACACATGTTATTTATATACGCATGTATCAGAACGATATATCTACCACAAACCCTAGCTAACATCATCGTCATGTCAAAGAGGGCAGACGTCCAGGCACAGTGTTGCTGAATTCCTGCTTGAAAGCCACGGAGTCCCTGAAAGTGGTGGCAGCTGCAGCATCTTGGAGTGGGTTTGCATGAGGTTTAGAGATGATAGGCATCACCATCAGCATCGTCCAGATGCTCATTGAGAGTTGGGGCTAGTTGGGGCAAACCTCAGGTCTTGCCGTAGAAGATCATAGAAGTAGTTCAAGGCAACAAAAATGCTATTTAACATTACAAACTAGATGATTTGTTTCAAAAAATACCCACTCTATTGGATATTCAAACATCTTCAAAGCATCGTTGTTTTATTAAAAATATCCTCCCCAACCCTGAGGATTGCACGGTTTTCCTCACTGCGGCAGCCTTCACTGTACTGTCGATGCCGCTGGTGTCCAACATAGGTGGGATGACTTCAGCCATGACAGCCATGGGTCTTCCAAGAAACCATGGGATTTTACCATGAAATATGGCTCTTTCCTGTAAATCCATTGATGTCAACCCTGGAATGAATCTGTTGGGGCGTTGAATCATCAGGGGACATACCATTTAAATTGAGGATGATTGTGGATTATCGCTATTCGTGGGTAGGTTTGATTCGGGGTTGAGATTACATGCCGTTGACATGATAACCCGAAAGTGATTGCCATACATGGGGAACAAACAATTGAGGTTTTGGACACCTGCCATTCATGGTGTGTCATCCACCACCTCGGCCAGCCATGGCCTGACACGAGCTCGTGACAGGCTGGCCAGAGACGCAAATTGCCACAATGAGCATGGCAGTTGCAGTGGTGACTTGACAGAAACAATTTCCAGCAACAAGACTAAGACCTTGGAAGAGATGAATCAACATGAACCAGACTACAGTTAATTGCCATGTTACATGGTACTAACATGGTACCAACATGGTACCAACATGGTCAGCGTCTAGTTGAAATGGACTTTGCTCTGGCCATCAGCGTATGGCCATAATGGATCATTAAATAGTCATGTCATGGCCAGATAGGGAACGCAAGCACCGGGACAATCAGTCTAGGAAGTTCCCTCCCGTGACTGCTGGTCATAGCGTGTTCAAAGGAAACCAAAGATAACCAGGGTGTAGCATGTCCATGACAGCTGTATTCAACACTGAGAATGCTGGAGATATATTTCCTTTTTCAATATGTAATGAGACTGTTCTGACACTTGTTGGGTTTCGAGTACTCCTACTTTCAGATCTTTTCTATTTTTTTTCCAGTGACCATTGTTGTTGAAGGACATAAATGAATCCAACCAAAAAACCCATGATGACATGCATGAATTTAAGATCACATTGACACATTGTTGTCAAGATGTTTAAACAACTTGGCATTTGGATACGCGTCGAACATGTCAAACCCAGTTTGACTCCATGCCAAGGCGCTGTGTTTGGGCGTTGCTGCGGCCGTGAGGGATGTGTGATGTGGGCCGCGCTGTGCTGAAGGTGGTAAGTGAACCATTCAGAAACACCCCCTGGGATCCCTGGGTTCTGAATGGATGCCGGCTAGACGGCTAGACCTTGATGTTGAGAATCAGCAAACCTTACATGAAATGAAGATTTGAGATCTCATTTCGTTGCCAAGTGCATCCCCGGATCGTACAAGGGTACGACGCCGGTGGCCAGTAAAGAATGACCAAGATCTGCACCAGTTGCTGATGCAATCTAAATGGGGTCGCTGAAAATCATCGATTGGATGATTGAATATCATTGAAGAGGTAGATGATTTATATAATTGGGTAAATCATTGAATATCATTGAATATCATCTACCATTGAAGTGGTGATTGAAGTGGTTCATCATTGGCGAAAACGACAAAAAACATGTGGGTCCATGGCTACCGTGGCGCGCATTTTTGTAGCAACACCCATCAGAGATCCTGTAATTTGTAGGACATCTTGACTGCAGTGAGCAACGACTCTTTGCTGTGTCGCTGGTATCTGTACACACTGGAGGCTTGACGTTTGGTTTTCCAGACTTGGATAGACTTGCTGTTGAGTACCAATGTCCTCACTATTTGCACAGAACATTGTGATGATTTCAGTCAGGCTACATGTGTCGAAACCGGCGTCGATCAAGCATCACTTTATGTTTGTATGGTTGACATGCCAGCCCATTTTTCCGTTGGCTGCGTCATGATTGATGATCACTGTTTGTAGCTTTGTCGGTTTTGACAAGCTCATGCAGAGGTCTGAAAAGAGGATTTTGTTCAGATTTTTCGGTGTCTTGATCGCTGTTATTCTTCGCAGCAAGTGGCAACTTGAAGCTTGATATCCATCCAACATCATCCAACCTTGTATTGAAGAAAACTTTCTGAGGAAGACGACGAAGAAACCGCACAGTTTTCTCCCCTGTTTTCATGGGATAGTAACTGCAGAGTATATGTAGGGTGCAAGCGAGCGCGAGCTGCACTTTTTTTTGGATCATAACGTCATCGCCAAATTTTCACGATTTGAGAAACATTTTCTCTATCATAGCCGCCAAAATCAGTACCAGCATACCCTTTTTTCATCTTTTTTCCCCTCATCCGATCCCCTCACATTGGCTTAAAGATTTGGGGATGGCTGCGATACTACGCAGCATATGTTTGGCAAGTATCCTCATATATCCTTATATATCGTCATATATCCTCATATATCCTGTTGTTGCCAACCTTTCAGGGGCACTAACCAGTCATAACCAGTCTACTGGTTCCCCCACGATTTTCCAGGTGCTCGAAAAAGAGTTGCAGATGGCCCACGACTCTCTTCAGCTTGTCTGGGGGACCCATGTACTGTTGCTGCCGACAGATTGATGCACTTTGCGGGATGATACTGGACAAAAAAAATCTAAGTTTCCTGGAAAAAAATTTAAGTTTCCTGGGAAAAAAGATCTAAGACCCTGGAAAAAAAAATACTGGAAAAACAATTTCAGGTTCCCCTGATCCTTTGGTCCTCTGGTCCTCTGGTCCCCTGGTCCTCTGGTCCCTTGGTCCCCTGCAAATACCATGCAAATTGCATAGTTAAGTTCCAAGCCCTGCAAATATTCTAAAAATAAGAGATTTCAGCTGCACAAAATTGAATTATTCAAGGCCAGAACTCTTTAAATATCATTCAATTGCATGTTTAAGTGCCCAAACCCTGCACATATTGTACAAATAAGATCAAATAAGAGATTTCAGCTGCAAAAAGGTTCAAAGTACAGATTCTTAAGTTTTTTTTTCCAGTGTCTTAAGTTTTTTTCCAGTGTGGAGAGTAGGGGTGAACCTTAATATTTTTTCAGTAGTAAAAAGTTTTTTTTTTTTTTCCAGTGTCTACCCGCACTTTGCAACACAAGATGATCAATATTGTGCTTATCAGATCTCATCAGAATTACTGTATCCTCCGTTATCAAACGTGGCAATGGACAATTCCCCCATCTCTCGTTCGATGATTTTCCTATCAAGGCTGAAGTGGCGCACACAGAGGCCACAGGTAGCCGTTCCGGCACTGTGAAGGCAGGGAATGTGACCGACGTCCCTAGTCGTCATTTGGAGGTCACAAGTTGTTGTTATTCCAAGATTCCAAGCCATCCCCAAAATGTTTATTTTTCAATGGCGGATCCCCAAAATGTCATTGGTTGCAATAGGAACATGGTTTAATTTTCGATGATTTGGGGTACCGATTGGGGTTTATCATTAATGTGGGAAACCCAAGAATGAATAAACCTCCAGTTTTGGGGATGGTTTTCGCAACCCATGTATGATGAATTTGGGATGGTTTCTTATCGGGTTTACCACATTACGTCATTGCATAGTTCATCCAAAAGCTGTGCAGCTGAATCAGTTTCAACCAGCACAGTGCTCTGGAAAGCTTCGAGAGTGAACCCTCTGCCTACAGTTGCAACACCTGCACTTCCTGGCAGGCTGGACTGCTGAAATCCAAAGAAACTCTGAGCAAAGCGCAAGAGGCATGGGATGTGTTTCGGCAGCTCCATAGTATTCCAATGTATTCCATAGTTTGCACGCATTCAAAGTAAAATACTAGATGAAGACGCATTTCCCATACTGTGGATGGTTGCGAAATCCTGCAGCTAGATGGTAGATGGTTTATCCCAGAGGTTATCCCATGATAATCCCATGATTTACAGTATGTGGTCGGAACTTCCCAAGAGTTTCCCAGTTTCCCAGTATAATCCCAGTATTATTATCCCAATATCCATGATGTTTCATACTGTGGATGGTTGCGAAGTCTGCATCACCAAAAGGATGATTGAAACCCATCCAAAATAATAGGATGTTTACCACCTATCAACTGAGCCGCTCTGAAAACCTCCCTTTACATTTTCAGTAAGGGCCTTGTCATAACGTGTTTGGCGTAAGTAGAACCCTCACTTGCGTAAGGCCGCGTAAGGACTTCGCGTAAGGGTTTCCTCAATTTGCTTCGCGTAAGGAAAAACTCTACGCGAGTAAGCATGGCGTAAGCTTTGGCGTACCCAAAATGATACGACATAGGGAGTGACTGAAGGTTTTCAGAATGGCTCAACTGGTGATTCGGATTTCGCTGGCCCATCCACCGTAGTTCCCAGCCGAGTTCCCAGTTCGTTTCTCGCTGGTCTCATGGTCCAGGCTGCTCAGCAGGCAGCCCAGGAGGCGCAAGAAGCTTTACAGCAGCTGGAGGCGAGGCATCCATGGCGGGATCTGCCATGGAGGTGAAGGGATTTGACCCCAACATATGGATTTATATGGATTTATATATGCTACAGTACCTCCATCTTAGGGTTTTGAAATTCCCATTGAACGGGGATGGCTGTCGTTTACTGGTTGCGGATGCAAAATTATGAAAACATGTTTGCTGATGTTTGCTGTACTTCTGTCCCTACCGGTGTGATTCTCGAAATTGCCTGGTGTTTTGTGAAGAAGTATAGCGACCTCATGACAACCTCACCATTTTCAGCATGGTGAAGAAAGATATCACTCCCGACTTCCAAGTCATGCTAAGTACTTTCGGTCTGGAAATTCGAGTAGTCTGACCATATTAGTATATTTAGTTATGTATAGTATATTATATATATATAGTTAAGGACATACACTTAGAACACCATTTGGAAAACGCATGGCGAAAATTTCTGCAGGGGAATGTGTTCTAAGTATACACTTAGAACACCAAAAAAAAACATACACTTAGAACATGTTCTAAAAGGTATTTAGAACACTTTGGGGTAATTTATGTGTTCTAAGTGTATGTCCGTAATTTCAATTATGTAAAGGATTGGTACAACCTTCGGCAGGGGGTCAATGGATACATAGATAATCAATATGATAATCCCCCCAAAAAAAAACATCCCATTAAATAATCATTTGGGCCACATGTGGAGGTCATTTCACATCATCTCAAATAGAGCTATACCGAAAATTATCTAATTGGAAATATCTTTTTGGGCGGGGATGGTATACCCACATTCCCCAGCTGTATATATATATTATATATATACATATGTATGTATACCAGGGTACCTTTGCAGATCCACATAAAGCAACTAGCAAAGGAAGATGGGATTGGAGTGAAAATTCAGCTGGAACCCCAAACCAAAGGGCGTTCAAACTCTCCGTTGGTGGCCAACAACAACTAAATTCATCTCAAAAGTATATCTATATATATATATACATACATATATATGTGTGTTTAGATGGAAGTTAACACATTTTTGGGTGATCTTGGTGGCCTCCCTAGGTGGCCAACCACACACTTAGAACACTTCAAACATGTTAAATTTAGTATGAAGTTGGTGACTGGTGTTAATGTTTGACACAGACTCACACACACATGCTCTCTGTCCTTCGAGTGGCCAACAGCCAAAAAAACATGTCACTAGTAATTGATTAATTATATTTTCAAAATGGACAATTAAACACATTTCTGGGTGATGTTGGTGGCCTCCCTACTAAGTGGCGAAACAAACACTTAAAACACTCGCAAAAAAGGACAAATGCAATACTCAAGTTGGGGACAGTGTTTGATACACATGGTCTCCGTCCTTCGAGGGGCCAACAACAACTAAACCAATCTCAAAAAATATCCATTTCAAAAGGGAACTTAAACAAATTTCTGGGTGATGTTGGTGGCCTCCCTAGGTGGCGAACCGGACACTTAGAACACTTGTAATAAGGGAACATTGTACTCAAGTTGGTGACAGTGTTTGATATACATGCTCCCCGTCCTTCGAGTGGCCAACAACAAATAAACCCATGTCACAAGTAATTATCGATCTTAAAAGGGCACTTAATGCATCTTAAAGCACATGTCTGGGTGATGTTGGTGGCCTCCCTACTAAGTGGCGAAACAAACACTTAAAACACTTGCAAAAAAGGAAAAATGCAATACTCAAGTTGGTGACAGTGTTTGATACACATGGTCTCCGTTACGTCCTTCGAGCGGCCAACAACAAATAAAAACCCATGCCACAAGTAATCATTAATTTATAAACGAAACTAAAAAGCAAAAACATTTCTGGGTGATGGTAGTGGCCTCCCCAGGTGGCGAACCACACACTTAGAACACTTGGAAAAAGGGAAATTTATACTCAAATTGGTGACAGTGTTTGATACACATGCTCTCCGTCAGTCGAGTGGCCAACAACAAATAAACCGGTATGACACAAGTAACTATAAATTCAAAAAGGACGCTTTAACACATTTCTAGGTGATGGTGGTGGCCTCCCTAGGTGGCGAACCCCTCACTTAGAACACTTGCAAAAAGGGAAAATCAACAATATTCAAATTGGTAGCACTGTTTGATACACATGCTCTCCGTCCTTCGAGTGGCCAACAACAAATAAACCCATGTCACAAGTACTTATCAATTTTCAAAGGGAACTTAAACAAATTTCTGGGTGATGTTGGTGGCCTCCCTAGGTGGCGAACGAGACACTTAGAACACTTGTAATAAGGGAACATTGTACTCAAGTTGGTGACAATGTTTGATACACATGCTCTCCGTCCTTCGAGTTGCCAACAACAAATAAACCCATGTCACAAGTAATTATCTATCTTAAAAGTACACTTAATGCATCTTAAAGCACATGTCTGGGTGATGTTGGTGGCCTCCCTACTAAGTGGCGAAACAACACACTTAAAACACTTGCAAAAAAGGAAAAATGCAATACTCGAGTTGGTGACAGTGTTTGATACACATTCTCCGTCACGTCCTTCGAGCGGCCAACAACAAATAAAAACCCATGCCACAAGTAATCATTAATTTATAAACGAAACTAAAAAACAAAAACATTTCTGGGTGATGGTAGTGGCCTCCCTAGGTGGCGAACCACACACTTAGAACACTTGGAAAAAGGGAAATTTATACTCAAGTTGGTGACAGTGTTTGATACACATGCTCTCCGTCAGTTGAGTGGCCAACAACAAATAAACCGGTATGACACAAGTAATTATAAATTTTAAAAGGACGCTTTAACACATTTCTAGGTGATGGTGGTGGCCTCCCTAGGTGACGAACCACACACTTAGAACACTTCCAAAAACAGACATTTAATACTCTGGTTGGTGACTGGTCAGGATGTTTGACAGACCTGTTCTTCATCCCTCCAATGGTCAACAGCAACTAACCCCATCTCAAAAGTATTTGTTTTTAAAGGAACCAAATAATCACATTTCTGGGTGATGTTGGTGGCCTCCCTAGGTGGCGAACCACTCACTTAGAACACTTGCAAAAAGGGAAAAACAACAATATTGAAGTTGGTAGCACTGTTTGATACACATGCTCTCCATCCTTCGAGTGGCCAACAACAAATAAACCCATGTCACAAGTACTTATCAATTTTCAAAGGAAACTTAAACACATTTCTGGGTGATGGTGGTGCCTTCCCTAGGTGGCGGACCACACACTTAGAACACTTGTAATAAGGGAACATTGTACTCAAGTTGGTGACAGTGTTTGATACACATGCTCTCCGTCCTTCGAGTTGCCAACAACAAATAAACCCATGTCACAAGTAATTATCTATCTTAAAAGTACACTTAATGCATCTTGAAGCACATGTCTGGGTGATGTTGGTGGCCTTTTTAGGTGGCGAACCAATCACTTAGAACACTTCCAGAAAGAGAAAATCAATGATTACTCTCGTTGGTGACCGGTCAGAATGTTTGACACACCGTTTCTTCATCCCTCGAGTAGTAAACAGCAACTAACAACATCTCACAAGTATGTTTTTTTAAAGAAAACTTATATAAGCACTGGGTGATGTTGGTGGCCTCCCTAGGTGGCGAACCACACACTTAGAACACTTGCAAAAAAGGAAAAATGCAATACTCAAGTTGGCGACAGTGTTTGATACACATTCTCCCCGTCCTTCGAGTGGCCAACAACAAATAAGAACCCATGCCACAAGCAATCATTAATTTTAAAACAACACTAAAAAACAAAAACATTTCTGGGTGATGGTAGTGGCCTTCCTAGGTGGCGAACCACACACTTAGAACACTTGGAAAAAGGGAAATTTATACTCAAGTTGGTGACAGTGTTTGATACACATGCTCTCCGTCAGTCGAGTGGCCAACAACAAATAAACCGGTATGACACAAGTAATTATAAATTTTAAAAGGACGCTTTAACACATTTCTAGGTGATGGTGGTGGCCTCCCTAGGTGGCCAACCACACACTTAGAATACTTCCAAAAACAGACATTTAATACTCTGGTTGGTGACTGGTCAGGATGTTTGACAGACCTGTTCTTCATCCCTCCAGTGGTCAACAGCAACTAACCCCATCTCAAAAGTATTTGTTTTTAAAGGAACCAAATAATCACATTTCTGGGTGATGTTGGTGGCCTCCCTAGGTGGCGGACCACACACTTAGAACACTTGCAAAAAGGAAACAAATTGAAAAGGAACACAATACTCAAGTTGGTGAAAGTGTTTGATACACATGCTCTCCATCCTTCGAGTGGCCAACAACAAATAAACCCATGTCACAAATACTTATCTGCCCAGAAATGTGTTTAGGTTTCCTTTTAAATTGATAATTACTTAATGCATCTCGAAGGACGGAGAGCATGTGTATCAAACACTGTCACCAACTTGAGTATTGTGTTCCTTTTCAATTTGTTTCCTTTTTGCAAGTGTTCTAAGTGTGTGGTTGGCCACCTAGGGAAGCCACCACCATCACCTAGAAATGTGTTAAAGTGTCGTGTCCTTTTAAAATTGATAATTACTTGTGGCATGGGTTTATTTGTTGTTGGCCACTCGACTGACGGAGAGCATGTGTATCAAACACTGTCACCAACTTGAGTATTGTGTTCCTTTCAATTTGTGTCCTTTTTGCAAGTGTTCTAAGTGTGTGGTCCGCCACCTAGGGAAGGCACCAACATCACGTGATGGTGGTGGCCTCCTTGGTGGGGCGTCCTTAGGTGGCGGACCACACACTTAGAACACTTCCAATAAGAGAAAATCAATACCCAAATTGGTGAGAATGGTTGATACTTTTTTGTGCTACTAGTTATAGGTAGAACCAAACCTTTCAGGCAGCGGGTCGTGATCTTGGTGGCTTTTTAGTGCCTAATGAAAGTAGTGCCTAATTAAACGTCATGTCTTCTGAATAACATGTAAAAGACAATTGAAACATATTGTTATAGATATATAGTGTTTTGGGGTCGAATTGTATTATATTATATTATATCATATTAGATTATATTTTATTATATTATATATATTACCCTATTTTATTTTATGTTATACTTCATTTTAATACAATATTGTATATATGCCTTACCAATTGTATTGTATGACTACTTTACATGGACGGACATACACTTAGAACACATGTTGGAAAAATAAGATGTGTTCTAACACGTTTCTGATGATGTTCTAAGTGGCTCACTTAGAACATGTTCTAAGCCTTCACTTAGAACAGTTGGGGCGAATTTCTCCCGCAGCAAAACGGTGTTCTAAGTGTATGATTTTTTTTTTTTGGAAAACACTTTGTGTTCTAAGTGTATGTCCTTAACTATATATATATATATATTGTGATATCATTACTTACAAGCACAGGCTGCTGTTGAATGCGCCGGAAACATCTAAAAACCGTTTTTCGCTGTCAATGTTGGAGCGAAATCAGCATTCCAATCAAACTGGAGCTACCCTAAACAGACCTTCTATGAGGTGGTACCACTGAATTCTTCAGAGGGCTCAAGTGGCGCAGTGTCTCCCAAGTTGTGCTGCAAGTTTTCCATTTCCCCACCATGCGGTGGGTCCTGGGAGTTGCCCTTGAAGCCTATCTTAGCTTAAGGTAGCTGTTTGTTTTCCCGTTGATTATTCCACCATATTGGGCGGCCCTGGAAATTAGGATGCTACCGAATACAGTAATTTAGTAGGACACGTGACATCAAGCTGTGAATTTGGGATGTAATTGCTGTCAACCCTGGATTAATAAACCCCACACGGCTGTTTCAGTGGGAGGGCACCATTTAAGTATTAGATTGTTACTATTGCGGGAGTACCCCCTAATTAATAAACCATGGTTTATTAATCCGGGGTTGACATTACTCCATGTTCACACAAATCCAATAGAAATTGTAAACACGTGGGAAACATATATATATATATATATCTGTAGTATTCTGTAGTTGATGTGGAGTATGTATGCCCCTGGATATACACATCTTACTTTATGTGTATATTTGGTTTGTATAAGCTTCGGATTGGCCACTGAAAGGTTATCTTCGGGCTGACGTTGGGCACGGGCGGGATGCAACTGATCCGGATGTCCGAACTCAAGAAGAAGGGAGAGAAGTTCGTGGAGAGCCGCACCTTCTTTGTCTTGGGCATGGTGACATGGAGTTGAAAAACGCGCGGCGTTTTTTCATTTTTTCAAATATGTTTGCACCTACAGCGCCTGGATCTGTTGGAAATATCTTCTATGTTTTTTTTGGAAGGCTTCCTCTTAGAGTCTTGATGGTTAGAAGATCTCCCCACACAGTGGATGATCTACCAATCTACCCCGTGAAAATCCATGAGCATCACCCGTGTTTGATCAACAGAATCCGTGATCTAGTGATGGGTTTGCTCATTTCAAGCTCCCGCACTAGCAGCAGTTATTGCTGGGGGGTGTCCTTTGGATCATCGCGTAGACGCCCTTTTTCCTCGGGGTGATTGATGAATCCACACGTAGCTCGCCCACTTCTTGCAACGAATAGGGATGCATGGTGATAAATTGCATGCCAAACTGATTCCGCATTTTTCCTCATGTTAGGTCATCATTCATAATTAGACAACCCGTCTGTTTGGGATTGAATTCAGTTCGAGATCGTGACTACATGGGGATGGGCCGAAACATAAGTGACAATCTGTGGGGTACACCAAGGCATCGGGATTTTGATGCATAGCATCATGATGACCGTCTATCTGCAAGGTGATGCTCCCAAAGTTTTGTTTGTTGGTTTCAAATCCCCATAAACTATATATATATAAATATTATTGATCTACCATAAACCATAGTAAACCTAGTTATAAACCAACGGTAGGAGACTATTTGTGTTTTCAGGAGCCGTAACTGAGCCAACTCCAAGGTCATGAACACATTCTTTGGCCCTCTGCTTGATGTTGCTGGCTACGCATATGCGTCTGCGGCTGTCATCGCGCCCTTATCGGGTTTCAACGTAGTCACTGGGTTTTTCGAAGCAAACGGGAAAGAGAACGGAAGCACATGATGAACTACCTAGCAAAAACCAATGTTTTACCGACCACTGGAATTGCAATTATTCTCTTGTCACCTACAAACATGATGAAGTTTTCACCCGTGAAAATGGGTAGAGCCGGTATAGCACGGTTGATATGGGTTGTAGCTACGTAGGTATCGTTTTTCCTATTTAAAGATCGCGTTTTCTATTTTTCATCTTCGCTATGGGAAGGTCAAACCCGGTCAACTGCTGAGGTGATCAACGCGGTCATCGCTCCAGTCACCTTAGGTGAGAAGCTGACCAGCCGCAGGACCGGGGTTTCAAACTGGTGAAGGCGCACCTGTGCAAAACTGGGTGAATGGTAGCTAGATGGGTTTAACATTAAAGCCGTTTTGATAGAGGAATGCCGCTTGAGACCATGTCTCCCTGCGAACAATGGGTGTTGTCAAATGATGCCACAGGATTGGTAGGTTCTTTGTTAGTTGATTGTTGGTTTTCCACAGTCCTTCAACGTCACTCTCATGCTGAAACCCTGCAGATTGATCGCTTCGGCGATGGTCGCCATTACCGCCCCATTATCCATCTTTTTCAAGAATCACCGGGAAGATAAAGAAGCCTGGACTTTGGAACGTGCTGAAGATGTTCTTCTGCGATGGAGGGTCCTGTTTTACGGCTTGATATTCGCAATGTGGTTTTGCTTTAACCTGCGGCTTCGCAAGCGCTCGGCGAAAGGTTCTGCGCTACGCGGATTCTCGTTGGCTGCCACTGCAGGCTCCATGGCCGGCAATATGTGGTGCACACGGGTGGCAGCGGTCTTTGCTGCCAATTGTGCTTCCGCACACATGTGCACCCCCTGGGGGCACTGGCTTCCATGGGTTCTCTTGACTGGATCCGTGTTTTTCGCAGTGTCGAACGTGCCATACATGACGAAAGGCATGCAAAGATACGAAACTCTCTATGTGGTTACGGTCTTCCAGGCATCCAATATCGTCTCAAACAGCCTCAGCGCACTCATCATCTTACAAGAGATGGAAGGTGCGCCTTGGTGGAAACTACTGGGCTATCTTGGATGCATCGTGATCATGATGGGGGCCCTTTGGTTCCTAGTCTCAGGCGAAGAGGCAATTTGTCCGAGCAATGAACAGGATGCTGATCTGCGAAGTATGCTTTCGATGGAAGGAGGCGAACTTGAAGAAAATGAATCAGATGACGAACCTGACATAATGTATTTCTTCAACGCGATTTCGCAGTCGTTTTCAAACCTTCAAACTGCAGAGTCACAGAATTACAAAGGGTCGCACGGCGGAGAGGAGGAAGTGCGCGAGGAGTCCAACGATGCCAATTGCTGAAACTCTCAAGATGTCTCCACTAATAGAACTTTGGCATATCGGAGTCAAGGGGCAAAGTGCCCCCCTATGCTTCAAGATTTCTTGCAATACTTGTTATTCAATGCATAGTGTCGTCCTTTAGGGGATCTCTGTTTCATGTTTTACAAGATCACTTCACATGTGCTGAAAAGACTTCGCAGGTGGGCTGAGGGGAGACCCGGCCCAGCCAAGGGCACAAGGGCACCTTCAACAAAAAAATTGTTTCAACATGTTTTGATTTAAAACCTCCCAATCATCTACTTTGTTGTTTTTGGCATGTATGTACGTCATACTCCATTGCAGGCTTTTGGAACATGAGGAAATGTCGTTTCACCGAGTTTCAGCAGCCACATGATCCACTAGTCCCAGGGGGTGTCTGCACAGGTCCAAGGGACCATGGAACGTTTCAAAACCATAGGCGTGACATATTATATGCATTTGATTACCCATTCAGTATTCCGTCAGCACTGCTAATATGGTATATAGTATATAGTAAAAGTAAATAAGATATAGTATACAGTATACAGTATACATTATGTATATACATCATATGTTTCGTTTCGTTTCACACAGCAACATATATATATGTTTATAGATGCATGTTTATATATATATATACACATATGATTATATATGATCATACATGATTATATATATAATTATATATATATATATGTCATGTATGTGCACACATATACCCAAACCCACACTATTTCTGAATATCCTGTTGGGTTCATGGGGATGGCGCTTTGATATTCAATGGACTGGTTCAAAGGAAAAATCTAGAATCTAGAGGAAACCATGGTTTGCAATGAAGTACGGGTTTTCCTGTAAATTTGCCTTGAACCAACCCATTGAGATATTGGTGGATGGAGGCATTTAGACAATCTTGCCTTGAAACAAATTGGATGAAAGAGAGTGTTTCTCCACACGCATTCTGTTTGCGTATTTTGCAGTGTATTTACATAAAACCTGCATGGTATGCTAGTGTATGACATATGCCACCTGCCCGCCCCTTTCATCATGTAAGTATGGGCTCTGGAGGGGGCGCTGACCATCCACACATATATATATATATACATACATATATTTATTGATCAAATAGTCTATGTTACATCTATACAGTCTATACACATTCTTCGTAGTTCTTGACCCCCCAAAATGGCCAGTCCCTGCGGAGCGAGAAGACTCGCCTCACAGGCGGGGTCGTGGGATCGTTTTCGATCGGGCCCCATGGGCCCCCATTGTGAAGAAACGGGACCTCAATGGGACAACCTTACCACATTTTAAAGTACAGGGGATATCAGAAATGATGAGAATGAATTGAGAATGATGGGATCTAGCCATCTAAAGAACTGAGACTTATTATGACTTATTCAAGATCATTGCTGTCTGAATATGGGTCACAATTATTGATCCCACCCAGTGGATGGGTTGATAGTAAAGCATGTAAAATTGACCAATTTGTGGATTCATGGGCGCCTTATTCTTGAAGCATAGAACTACGTGGGATAAAGATGACCAAATCTTGTGCAAAGATATGACAGGTGAGACTGGCGTGGAAGCTGAGCGTCGACGGGCTCAAACCAAGGAGGCTGGTTGAGTTTTCTTGGCAAACATGTGGATTTGTCTTGCTCCCATTGTATGGACATTTTCATGTGGAAGGTGATTTTCAACACCATGTGTATCTTTGTGGGGTTTTGGATATTTTTGGTAGTTTGCAGAAGGAAACTTGGAACAACAACACTTTCTATACAATCTTCAATCCTCCCTAATTGTTTATCCTGAAAAATCGATCAACCCTGGGCTTTGGGTTGACCCATCCTCTCCCACGTCTTCCATCGTCTTCCTCGTTGGTTCGATCACGTTTCAGGCCTTGCGGAAAGAGCTGATACAGCTGAAGGTGGAGTTGGAGACGACGGAGGCCAAAATAAGCCCTGGAGCCATCAGAAAATACGGGGAAACCACTTGGGGATGATTTTGAAGCATCATTTCCATGGTAATATTTGGGATATTTGGGGATGGTTCATGGTAATTTACCGCCAGAAATTGATCCCAACTTGTTGGATCCTGAAAATTCAAAGAGTCCCAAGCTGGCAGATTCACGGCAAGATGAATGGAACGTAATGGAACCCTCCCTACGTTTCTTATCTTTTCTTTGGGGGAAAACCATTGTTTACTATGACATTTTTGGGAAAACCCCATGGTTTACGCTTAATTTTCCTTAGGCTCAGTCCATTCCCCATCATCTCTGGCATTTTCCATTGCTAAGCAGCAGTGCCTGCACAGGCAGCATGCCAAGGTGTCCGTGACAAGTTGGAGTGGCACAGGTCCCTTTTGGGGCACTGGTGATGAATGACTAAGCGTTGCATCTACCCGTGATGTGTATGACGAATGTGCACCCAAACGGATGAGTATCTTTTGGGGCTCCAGTTCTTATCGCAAAGGGAAGTCAAGGTCCAGACAGTCATGCCAAGTCATGCCTATCATGATAAGAGAGCCATTGAAAATGCCCTCCAAAACGCAAGGATGACCTCTTTTCTCACATCGTCCACAAGACATCACAACACGCCTAACAACAGGACGGAAGACATGTAGTGGGTTCCCACCCAAATGTGATTTTTGCGCAGTCCTTGGAAAAGAGACTTCGACCATAAACATTATGGACGTATATTGAAGTCATTCACATCACTTCCCGAAAAACATGGGAACATCATAGAACCACATGGGAATCCCAACCCCTTCCCCCTTTGCACTTCTGGAGTGCCGAGGCATTTGAGAGAAGCTCAGCAGTCTTAGCCTGAGCGTTACGGCCCATCCGGTTTTGGGGTGTACCCTCTGGCAATTTCACGTGGCAGTGGAAAATCCAAACTTTGAATCATCGAAATAAATAGATATAAATGGATATAAAATGATCTAAATGGATATGATATAAATGGATATAAATGGCTTTGTGTCTTAATTACTGGAGGGTATGTCATTTTGGAGCCGCTCCTATTTGGTGGAGAACCGATGGAATTTCCAGCTGGAATTTCATGATCGAGTGAGGCTTCTATCAATCCTACATACCTTCTGGCAATCTAAACATGACATTGGAAAATCCATATTTATAGATGATAGTCCTGATAAAAGTAGAGATTTTCAATTGCGAGGCTTGTTTTCCTTGGGGTGGTCAGGGTCTTGAGATTTGTTTGCCAAACACTCGGTTTTGAGATATGGGCTTGCCCCCAAAAAATATGGGGGAAAGCATGTTCTAAGCGATGGGATTTCAAAACCATGTTTTCCCAACATTCTCACACAAAACCATGATATTAGGTTTCCCAAACTTGGACCCCATATCCGCCATATATCCCTTATATCCCTCACGAAAGGCATGGCTTTCTACATTCAGCCAGGTTTGCTCGATGTGCAGCCAAAGAAGCTGCCAGTACGATTCGAGGTGCGGACGATCGATCTGTCTTTCTGTCTGTTCATTGTCATTTTACCCTCTGGTTATTTAACATAGCCATGGTATAGATGGCCCATGTATAGATGGTTTACCTATTAAAAATGGTGATTTTCCATGGCTATGTTAAATAACCAGAGGGTAGTTGCTTTAATAAGTGATTGTAGGTATAAAAGGAAAACATGCAATAATTATCAATAATTGTCATCAAGGCTTATCGAGGGTTCGCTATCAAGGGTTTGTTATCAAGGGTTCGTTATTGAATTACTTACGTGGATTTCCATGGATTTCTGAATAGAAAAAGAAAATGCCGCTGTTCATTCGATTGGTTTACCCATCTCCCAGACTTATCTTTTACCCATCATTTGAACAACAAGTAAACGACACGCGGTGATAGCTGGACCATGATTTTGCTTCAGTATACAGTATATGAGTAATTTTTCATTCTGCAGATGGTCGCCGCAAAAAGAGGGGTTGATGAGTACTGTCCCAGCGTACCCTCCACCAGGACTACAAATCGAAGATGAATAGCTTTCAATAGCTTGTTTTTCTGCCAACCTAGACTTCCAGACTGTTTCAGTCTTATGAATGTTTCTTTGGCGCAGTAAATCTGAGAGCAGACGCGAAGCGCGAGGTGACCACATGGCCCATCGTGCAATGGACATCTTTGAAACAAGCGGAAAGATTGGCAGTAGTATTTTGAGCTGACAGAGGACAAAACCAAACATATATATATATATATTATATCATTCTATATACAGTATACACATAAATACATACATAATTATACATATACATACTGTGAATAGAAGAAACCGCACCAGTTGGTAACTATTGATAACTATGAAACACTGTCAATCATGGGATGATAACATATCATAATCGTATAAATCATCTACCAACTGGTGCAGGATTCTATGAACTCGTGGACCTTGAGACACGACAATTCCAGGTGTTTATGGAGATCTCTCACGTGGAAAAAGCGTCGGACTCCTCAGAAATTCGGGGGCTTGCCGCCAGTCCATTTCCCCCGGGCTTCAAACTTCATATTCCCAGAGATGTTTCATCCATGAAACCATCTTGCGACACACCCGGCAGGCAAAATCCAGCGATGCAGCAACGGCTCAAAAGGCAGCCAGGAGGTGGGCCGATATCATCTGTGTATCATCTATGTATCACCTATATTAATATAATATATATATATATTTATTATCTATATATATAATTATGTACATACATTAAGTATAATCTAGTTTTATAAAATTGTATATATATAATTATATATATATATAGCTGTATATACCTAGACCCTCCAAGTAGCTATGGAAATGGAGTTTAACTCATTACTTTAAGACTTTTACCTTTGTTTTTGGGTATTTGGAGGGTCTAGGTATATCAGTACCATTACTTGAGTCACTGGATGATTTTTAGGACGATTCTATAGGGCGTCAGAGGAATCCCCAAGAGTTCGCGCGTCGTGGTCCCCAGGTTGTCCAAGCATTTGGACGATTTCCTGCGATTTTTGGGAGAGGTGTGAAACCGCAATGGTGGTGCTGGCGCAAATGGAGACATGTGGCAAAGCCATGTAGTTTTCCAAGTGCAAAAAAAAATATTCTTTGAATTTCTTTGAAAGGGCTAATGTAAAACCAATCTGAAAATGGTGTGCCTAATATATATATATATAGATAGATAGATAATGATAGATAATGATAGATAGATGGATACAGTTTATTCTTGGATTTACTGTACCACGTATTTGTTTGATACACTTTTCTGATCTGCAGTCTTGCATGTGCCGTATCTCACTTGGCGATCCCAGCTCTGCACAGGCTGTGGCGCTGGCTGAAGAAAAGAATGTGGTACCAAAGCCTGTGGCTCAGTGTGCCTTAATACTGTTCATTGTTATTTGAGGTTATTTGACTGATCATCACTGATCCTTGCAGATGCTCAGAAAGTTGATGTATCGTACATGTTCGTTCGCTGGATGTGTTTTGTTTGAACCTCTTCTGCACGATAGGTGGCTGGTTGCTTGGATCATGGCTGAAGAATTCTCTTTTCCAACACATCCTGCACATGCCAGCTAGGCTAAGATTGTTGGAAACAAGGTCCATCCTTCATATTCCTTTGTTGACAGGTGTATAGAAGCAGAAAATGGCTGTTGCAGCTTAGTAACTAACGACAACTAACGGAATTGACCGCGTGTCACAGCATGTTATCATGCTGCAGTGCCATCTCTGCAGGACGGCCACCAGCATAAACCTCAACCTGCCATCAGCCCTGAAAGAGGCGGGGTTTGAACGGTACAACAAGACACTTGGAGCCAGTTGAAGGCATTGAACTCACTCTGTTCATCTCTGTTCATCTCCAATCGGTGCAACCTCCGAGTCTGTTCCGAGTCTGTGCCGTTCCATCACCCCTCTGGTCTGCCGAAGTTTCACAGGCCTATGTGGGAAAGCTGGCCCAAAACGAAGATGGCAATGGGCTCCTTGCTATTGCAGCGTCTTGTTGCGCTTGTTGTCAGGCTGCGAGGGATTCAATAGCTTCGCCATAATTTGGGATGTCTTTTTGACATTTTTTGACTCTGACATTGCTGACACAGCTGAGCTTTGAATCAGATGTCAAGGAATTTGGCATAGAATCTCTTGCACAAACGGCAAACACCAACTACCAACTCTCCTTCAATCCCAAAACTGGTTGAAGAGTATGTTAGGGAAAATCTATTCAAAAAAGCACGTAAAAAAACAAACACGCAATTCACAATTTCTTCAGAGTTTCATAGTGTTTCCAAGTTTCCATCTTGCTCCCTTTTTAAGGAAACTTTGAGTTTCTTGGTTGGGTATGGATCAATACCTATTAATAGCCTATTAATACCATTTTTAGGGGAATGAACATCCATTTACCAGCTATTTTGATGTTCACCAGGGGGATAGGGTTTTGACCCATCCCCAGATATGTTCCCTTTCCCAAAAACCGTCTGCGGTTGCCATTCCCATGGCCGAGGCTATTGCAGCAGCTCGAGGCCACCAAGGAGAAACTCAAGGCCGTTTTCAATGGGATTTCACAATGAGCAATGGGGATACTGGGGATATATATCTATGTATATTATATATAATATAATTATATTATATTATACTATGATATATTATATTATATTTTATTATATTTTATTATCTTATATTATCTTATATTATATTATATTATCTTATATTATCTTATCTTATATTATATTATATCATATTATATTATATTTTATTGTATTATATTATACTATGATATATTATATTATATTTTATTATATTTTATTTTATTATATTATCTTATATTATCTTATATTATCTTATATTATATTATCTTATATTATATTATATTATATTATATTATATATTTTCTCTCTCTATATATATATCATATTATTTTTTAATTGCATAATTATAGTAGATTATTACAATTTTATATTATATTACTGTGAGCCTCACAGTATATTATGTATAGTATATTATAGTATATTATACTATATTATATCATATTTTTTATTTCATAATTATATGTTATGATATTATATGTTATGATATTATATGTTATGATATTATATGATATTATGATATATTATTAAATTATGTTATATGATATGATATTATATTAAATTATATTATATTAAATTAAATACATTTTTATTGTATTATATATATATACCCGTATAAATCATAATCACAACGACCTCACAGCGATGTCATTGCAAAATATGGGTGGGATTGGGGTCACCCGAAATGGGTGAACTTCTCGGGTTGTGCCAGTCGGTGAGAAGCGAGCTGCAGGAAGCACAGCAAGGTTCGGGGGAACAGGTGGAATCATCGCATATCAGGATTACGAGCATGAATAAGTACCATCTGGTTATTTAACATAGCCATGGTATAGATGACCCATAGAAATAGATGGTTTACCTATTAAAAATGGTGATTTTCCATGGCTATGTTAAATAACCAGATGGTAGGTGAATCATTATCATCAAATGCACAATTTTCCCTAGCTGTGTCAAGTCATACTAAATTTCCTGAGGGTAACACATCTTTGTTTTGAACATTTTGGGAACCAAAACCATAAGAGTGGATGACCGCAACATCAATTTGCTCGATTTGCCTATCTGAAATATTTGTTTGGAGTATTTTTGTGTGTTTGACAAACACATTTCTTTTCTGGGTATCTTATCGCAACATGGGGTGTGAATTTTTCCAAAATGTAATTATCCACATGAGGCTTTAAATCAGTGGTATTACCCTCTGGTTATTTAACATAGCCATGGAAAATCACCGTGTTTAATAGGTAAACCATCTATTTCTATGGGCCATTTTCCATGGCTATGTTAAATAACCAAATGGTAGAGTTTTTTTCCCACATCCTTCGTCGTGTATCCCTGTGCATCCTTTGAACTCAGCAGCGAGGCCATCAGAAAGACACCGAAAGTCAGCGACTCAGAAAGACTCCGAGTGTGGAAAATATATCATATATATCCATGGCAGCCAAGCTTCGGCATGTTGGACATGTTGGCTTATGTTGGCCTCATAAATAGGTTAGAATGATAACGGTTTACAGATGGATTGATTCATGGGTTGTTAGACTTGAGCTATTGACCATGGATTGTAGCTCATGTCTATTTATTAACCATGGCTTATTGACAATTATTGGCAGTGGCCTAAAACTTCCAGGTCTACGCGAAGATTGCGAAGATTTGCGGAAGCGGATTGAGGAAGGCGAGGTCAAAAGGGGGCGATTCATCATAGTCATAGTTTCAGCGATGACTATGTCAGAGCAATGATAGCAATACAGTGTATCATCAATGATATTGTATATGATCATAGATAGCGATGATAATGATCTGAAATCGATCATGACATATTGTTCAATCTATAATTAACAATCATGATAGTATTGACCAATCAATAGATACATGTGTATTCACAAGCTACCTGGCGGGGGGTTGCTAGACATTGATGGACAGGTGAAGAGGAGGGCAAAGCCGAAGAGAAGAAAACCGAGGAGGCCATGATATGGTATTGGTCAAAGCCTGTCTAACACAGTGTATGCTATGATAATCTATGAATCTATGATATTGGTTCCGGTTACAGTACAAAGCTAGAACTGTGAACATATTGACACCCCTGTATAAGTCTTAACTAATCATCTTTCCTCTCTGCCTGCAGCATGACCAAAATCCATGGATGACCAAAATCGCTTCTCCCCAACTCCAATGGTTCAGTTCATCTCATCGATCCCGGCCTCACAACGAACCTTGATCAAACGGACCCCAAGATGGCCACTTGATGGATGCCTAAAAAAACGAAGATTTTATGCCGTTGACGCATTTTGGTCTTTCAGGTGATTCTAATCAAGATCCATATTGTCACGATGATCCATAGAATCACGATGATCCAATATTTAATAAAATCCATATAATCACGATTTACCCTTTGTATCCCTTTATTTATGTTGGCGGTTCTCGTGACATATCATCCTTTTTTGGGTGATGTGGCCGGGTCCAGCGATCATGGCCTCAACGATCGAGGCCCAAGAGCGTCTCTCCGAAAGCATCACGGAGGCAGGTTGTCAGCGCAACGAGGCCAGGCAACTCGCAACCGGCAAAAACGGCTAGGAAATCCTAAAGAAAAATGGTGATTTCTAGCTGGGAAAATCATCAATGAGGGTGGTCTAGATTGGCTTTTTGTATTTTCTCCCAATAGGTGGAATATGTAGTGATAACAAATAGATGCGCATGTGTTTTTTTTAGGAAGGGTATCTAGGATTGGCAATGAGTGGGTGCGTATAGAGATCATCTAGTTTCATGGGCAAATTCATTGATTGATTATATGATTATATATATATACATGTTTTTTTCTTGCTGGAAGCTGATGATTTTATACCCAAAATAAAGGAGTTAACACCCTTAACTTTTCCCCTAGCCCAAAAAGATAGAAGAGCAAAATCACACTAAAACAGTGATAGTGAGGCCGCAGCCATATTTTTCTGCAGCTTTTGTGGGGCTGTGCAGCGCATGCACCGGTAACCGGGAAAGGTGGCCTGGGGCCCCGGTAAAATGTTGTTCGGGAAGCCCACTATTTGGGTCTGACCCCCAAATCAAATGGATGATAATGATGCTGTAAAATGCTGTAAAGCAATCCTGAAATGGATACAAAGTTGATCAAAGTTGTAGAATCCTACTAAAGGTGATAAAATTGAACGCTTTCTATCTAACATGGTGGGCCTCATAATACTCAAAATGATCAATTCCGTGGATCCATGCTGCTGTTCCCTCGGGCCAAGGCTGACAAGTTCACTGTTGGCACAGTCCGCCTTTTTTGCTTTACCCTTCTGTGCAAGGTAGTGCCCCCCCACTTATTAGCTTGTTGTTTGAAGCCCATTAAGCAGTTTGACCGATACCCACACACACACATATATATATATATACACATAATAATATAATAATAATAATAATTATTATTATTAATAGTAATTATTGTTTTATTACTGTTATTATATTATATTATATATACATTATATGTTGGACATCGCCACTTTACCCTACCCTAGCTGTGTCAACACCGTGGGATGGTCCCTTTGTTCAACCAAGGACGACGGCCATGTGCACATCAGGGACCTGCAGACTCCCGGAAGACGGCAGGGGCCTTTTTCAAGGGTTGGGGAGGATTTCATATGGGATGATAGTATATTATAGTGGGATGTGATGTATTACACATATATATATAATATAATATATATAATATAATATAATATAATATAATATAGTATAATATAATATAATATAGTATAATATAATATAATATAATATAGTATAATATAATATAGTATAATATAATATAATATAGTATAATATAATATAATATAATATAGTATAATATAATATAATATAATATAGTATAATATATTATAATATAGTATAATATAATATAATATAGTATAGTATAATATAATATAATATAGTATAATATAATATAGTATAATATAATATAATATAGTATAATATAATATAATATAGTATAATATAATATAATATAGTATAATATAATATAATATAATATAATATAATATAGTATAATATAATATAATATAATATAGTATAATATAATATAATATAATATAGTATAATATAATATAATATAGTATAATATAATATAATATAATATAGTATAATATAATATAATATAATATAATATAGTATAATATAATATAATGTAGTATAATATAATATAATATAGTATAATATAATATAATATAATATAATATAGTAATATAATATAATATAATATAATATAATATAATATAAATAATATATATAATATATATATTATATATATATATAAACAAAAACAAGCGTACTTATCTGAAGCAACTTGAGGTTTGATTGAAAATAGACAAGTGGCTAGTGCACAGAGTAACTCAGACCTTGACTAACAACTCAATGCAGCCATCAAGAGATCAGCAAGATGCGACAAGAAAAAGTGGAAACTGAGGATGCTCGAAGATGTTTCATCCGCCAGGGCAAAATGGAAAGGCATTAAGCTTGAAAAGTCTACATTTAAACCTTCTTTTTATAAGTTAAAAAATATTCATGGCCAATCAGTTCCACTAGACAAAAAGGCCGACGCGCTAGCGGAATATTTAGAACAACGACATTGGGCGTGTATCCAACACCTTCCACCAGACAAGGTAGACAAGAGAGAAGTAGTGGACACGCAACCACCTATCAATATAGGATCCATCACGATCGAGGAGATACATGATGCTTTACGCTCATCAAAAACAAACAAAGCCCCAGGCCCAGACGGCCTCACAATCGAATTATACAAATATCTAGACGAAGACAACCTGAGGTTGCTGGCGAGAATCCTGAACCAAATGTGGACTGAAGAGTTGTACCCTGATGATTTTTCCTACGCAGAAGTGGTTTCTATTTATAAAAAAGGCAACCCAGAGCTTCCTGAACACTACCGTCCTATTTCTTTGCTGAACTCATCATACAAAATTATGACCAAAATATTGCAGAAAAGAATTGCAGACGCCACTGATCAGTTTGTAAGTGACACACAATTTGGATTCAGGCGGGGCAAAAGTACTTCAGAACCTATATTCTGCGTGCGCCGATTACAAGACCTGGCAGAAGCCGGACACCAAAACATAATATTAATTTTCTTAGACTGGGAAAAGGCCTTTGACAGAATATCACACCACAGGTTACTTGAAGCTCTGGAACGAATGAAGATTGACGCCAAAATGATCAACAACATTAAGGCTTTGTATGAGCATCCATTCTTCAAAACAATCCATAATACTGAAGAAAGCGAATGGAAAAAACAGCACTCTGGCATACGACAGGGATGTCCGCTATCGCCTTATCTATTTATTTTAATGATGAACGTCCTGTTTTTCGATGTGAGGCGCAGGAACAATGATGCGTTTTTCCGGAAAAGTGTCAATAACATGACGTTTCAAGAACTTTTGTACGCAGACGACACTCTAGTCATTGCCAAAAACACCCAAACTGCAAAAGATTACCTGAGATACATCGAAGAAGAATCAGAATACTACAACATAAAACTAAACAGAGACAAATGCGTATGCATCACCTACAACAGAAACAATCAAATCACGTTAGCAGATGGGCAAAAGTTGAAAAGTGTGGACGAAACTATCTATTTGGGAACGCAGATCAGTAAAAGGGTGAACCCTAAGATTGAAATCAATCGACGCATCTCAAGCACAATGCCGATACTGAAAAGACTTGACTTATTCTGGAAACAAGCGCGGGTGCCAACCAAATGGAAAATTCAAGTATTTAACGCAGTTTGTGTTTCCAAACTCTTGTACAGCCTGGAAGCACTGCAACCAACAGAAGCCGCGGCAAGTAAACTGGATACTTTCCAATTAAAAGGTCTCAGAAAAATCTTGAAAATGTCCACAACCTACATCGACCGAACAAATACCAACCAGGAAGTCTACAGACGTGCTAATTTGGAAATGGGCCGAGGCGCAGAGGAAATCATCCGTCCACTACGTGATGTTCTACAGGAAAAGCGAAGAAAAGTATTGGGGCATATAATCAGAAGACCAAGAGATCACCCTCAACATCAAGCCACTTTCGCTACAAGAAATCTTTTGCCACAACAAGTTGAACAAAGAAGGGTGGGTCGCCCTAGAGCGGCGTGGACGTATGAAACAATGAAAGATTGCTGGCGCAGAAGATTTCACAATATACCATTTCAAATACAGAACAGGGAACACCGTGAACAAATAAAAACATGGGCTCTCAACCGAGAAGATCCTTTTTGACAGTCTTTTTAATTCACCTTTAGGACGAACAGCTGCTGTAGTGGTGCCAGCGGGTCTCACCCAGACCTATGGTTTTGAATAATCTATATAATATAATATAATATAATACAATATAATATAATATAAGTTAATATAATTTAATATATATAATATAATATATATAATATATATAATATATATAATATATAATATATATAATATATATAATATATAATATATATAATATATAATATATATATCTATATAATATATATAATATCTATCATATATAATATCTATATAATAATATATATCTATCTATCTATCCTATATCATCTCTCTATATCTCTCTCATATCTCTCCTCTCTCATCTCCTCTCTCTCTCCTCTCTCCCTCCTCTACTTATATCTCTCTTCTCTCTTCCTTCTCTCTCTCCTTCCTCTCTCTCCTCTCTCTCTCTCTCTCTCTCTCTCTCTCTCTCTCTCTGCTCTCTCTCTCTCTCTCTGCTCTCTCTCTCTCCTCTCTGCTCCTCTATCTCTCTCTGCTCTCTCTCTCCTCTCTCTCCTCTCTCATACTCTCCTCTCTCTCTCTCTCTCTCTCTTCTCTCTCTCTGGGATTTTTAGTGTTTTTTGTTTTTTAAGATCCTAGACTGTCCATAGTGGGATATAGGATCTATTCATATCTATTCTACGGGATATTCTATGGATGACTATCCTATCTATAACAAAACCAACTTGAGGAGCAATAATTTGAAGATACTTTGAACATCTTTGAACACTCTGAAACCACCATGATGTGTCTTTGCTTGCACCCGTGGCTAATTCCATGGGAAGTCAGCAACAAAGTGAGGGCTGTTGAGTTTTTTCGGGCCGTTGGATGTTGGCAAGGCCATGGTCGATGTCGAGTCAAGAATGCCTCTTTGCCGCTCGGGTGCCACTGGTGCCACAACGGTGGGACATTGGCCATCAATCCTTTGAGGGATTTCCTTTTTGGTATGGATGACCAGGGGGCCCATTAGGGCCATTCAGCCCATGTAACTTGACCATGGCACACCAAGTTTCGTGTTTTTTTTTCGCCAGAAATGATGCTTAGCCAAGGAAACGCAGCTCGGATGCAGCACCTCAGTTGTGCAAGGAGGCGTCGACGCGTAGCAAGGATAGTCAACAGCAAAATTCAACAGTTTTGCAAGGTTTGATGGACATACACTTTGGGTTGGAATTCAGCTAAATAAGGCTTTTGAAACTAAGTCTTGTTCTTGAAGTCAATCTGCTTTCCAATTTTGCTGTTTGGTTTGATGATCTGCACCTTTTTGTTGGGTTTAATTTGGAAGATATTGGCATTCGATGTCAACGCGGCAGATCCCGCACCTGAAAGGTGAAGTCAATCCTGAGACAGAGCAGGCGGGATCAAATACGTGGGTGCAACCAAGATTCAAATATGGGGATTTCATCAACAAAAATTATGTCAGCTGATGTATAACTATAATTATATTTGTAATTGTATCTGGGGATTTCATCAACAACAATTATGTCAATCAATAAAGTTGATGTATAACTATAATTCAATATTTGTACTTGTATATAATTGTATATGGGGATTTTCATCAACACGCAATGTCAAATGGCTATGGAATGCTGATCAAAAAGCCTTGGATTCTGCCCCTGCTTTGCGCATCATGGCCAGGGTCGCCAGGCAAGGAAGTCGTCCAGGATTAGCGTCAGTAGTACCATGGCGGCAATTGGACCAATACGGTGATCCAGTTTGAGTTGGCAAATGGGGGCTAGAAATACATGTCTGATCATGTTTGTTCAGGGATTTTAATGTAAGACTTGAAACATCATTAAAACATCCTGATATTTCGAGCCATGGCGAGATTTTAAGCTACATTTGTTCATCAATGATTGGTGGTGAAACCAGAAGCATCACTGGAACATTCGAAGATGTTTGAAGATCAGGTTTGGCGACGCCTAAAGATGCTGAGATGTTGTCCACGCCGCTTATGGAGCGAAGGCAAGTTCGATCCATTCCCATGGATTTCTCTGAAATTCTATCCCCAAGTGTTGTATGTTTACTCATGTTTACCACAGTTAATAAACCTTCAACATCAAGATATTTGAGATAAACCATAGCCATTGATAGATTTACGATTGATACAATTGATATTGACTATACATGGATTCTGCCTAGAATTCCCATTTCTATCCATCTCTATGTAGCATCGATTAAAGATACATTGATTCTTGATGGATGTGATCCCAACACCGCCCCAGCCAGGCCGCGTGAAATTCCGCGGCTCCGTGCGCGTGCTGTCCTTTCCGCGGACATTGGGCGGTGGGGGTTCTCAGCGACGTCGCGACGTATGGATGATGGTGGAATCATGCCCCCAAATCAGCCTGATTTTCAGGTGATTTACCCTCTGGTAAACTAACATAGCTATTGAAAATGGCCATTTATAGTAGATTTTCCCATTAAAAATGGTGATTTTCCATAGTGATGTTAGTTTACCAGAGGGTATATCCAAAACATAGCTGAGTTTTGGTATTTTTTCTGATTCAGTGAGATAGACTAAATAGATCTAAATAGACTATGATGGAAATTCCAGGATTCTTCTGCGTAAGACTCAATCTCATCAGTGTGTCGCAGTCTTCCAATCTATTGCACAGAGTTGGGATAATTTGGATCTAGTGAAGAATTTTGAGTGGGATCTGGTTCTGTATTTCGCATGCATAATATATTTTTATACTTATATTTATATACATATATTTATATACATATATTTATGTACATATATTTATATACATATATTTATATACATATATTTATATACATATATTTATATACATATATTTATATACATATATTTATATACATATATTTATACTAATATACATATTTATATACATATATTTATGTACATATATTCATATATTTATATACATATATTTTTGTACATATTTGTATATACATATATTTTTGTACATATTTGTATATACATATATTTATATACATATATTTATGTACATATTTGTATATATTTATATATGTATGCCATTATAATCAAATGTATATTAATGTATATGTACATATCCACAGTACGCTTTAGATAGACAGACAGACAGGCAGACAGGCAGAAAGACAGGCAGACAGGCAGACAGATAGATAGATGGATATACTATGATAAGTCATAAGTCAATGTTATAATAAATTAATATAATTTAATATATAGATAGATGTATATCCATCTATATACTGGATAATCTATTTGATAGATGGATATACTATACATAGACGGATCAGCACTAAGCTGGACTTCCACAGTCTGCCGTAAAGGGAGCGACGCTGTGCCCACGGACGGTTCCACGGTGGCACTTGGACTGGGACATGTTCCGAAGGAGAGCCAGGTGGGACCTGCGGGCAAAAGTCATGGATTTTCGTTGTGAACCAACGACGACGGGTGGCACACTTATCTTGGCAGAAAACATGTATTGAAAAAGGTATATACAAGTCCTTAGAGAAACACATAGCTACAATTTCTTAGGTATATCGTTGACAATCTATTGATATGTATATCTGTATGTACACACATATATATATATATACATAGAATCCGCTCTAAAATGCTCATAAGGAATTGTTAGATCCGAAGGACATAGACAATTGGACAGTGTTACTTACTGCAGAAGTCTGGCCCGGCCAGGTCAAACTGGCCCGTTGTTCTCGCAATAGCGATCAGATCTCGTGGATGCCCACGGAGATGCGTTGGAAGCCTCAGATGGTCGTGACAGTCGCAGCGCCGCGCAGGATGCAAGGGATGAGTGTAATTTTGGATGATTTTCAGACAAATTTGGATGATTTTCAGACAAATTTGGATGATTTTCAGACAAATTTGGATGATTTTCAGACAAATTTGGATGATTTTCAGACAAAATTTGGATGATTTTCAGACAAATTTGGATGATTTTCAGACAAATTTTGGATGATTTTCAGACAAATTTGGATGATTTTCAGACAAATTTGGATGACTTCAGAATGTGGTAGTTTTTGTTCTTTGGAGTGGAGACACCAAGACTCGGTGGTTTTGTACTTTATAGTTGGGAAACACACCTTGAGTGGTTGTAAAGAGGGGAAACCATCTAGTAGGCATGTAATGATGGACCCAAAATTTGGTGGGTTTGTCAGACATGTCTTGCTGTAGCTATATTACCTATATAGCCATCATGGGTTTGGGGGTTTGGCGGTCCTGATACGTCTTGGACGTATCCAGATGGCTGTGATGCCCGTCTAAATGCTTGTAATCGTCGTCAACGCGCTGCCAGAGAACATTCGAAACCTCTTGAAATCTCACCATTATTATCCAGGGTTTTCCCAAGTTTTCCCGGGTTATCCATTCAATTTTGCACCTTTCGGTCCTCCACACTAGCCCGGCTGTCGTGCTCGAGGCGAGCGCGTCTTGATGGAATGCATGGGAAAAGAGAACTATGAAAAGGTTCAAGAGATAGAGCTCCCAGAGATGATGCTTGTCTGCAACTGTTCATGTGTGCAAATGGGGAATTGACAGCAAAAATGAATAAGAGGACTGGCCACTTGAATAGGGAAAACGAGGTTTTGAACTCGTTTTAAACTTTCAACCATGGGATTTGAGGGGGAGAACCCCCTCAATGATTCAGACACATGTGGCACTTTGCTGGGAAGCAATGGGCTCCAGCAGCAAAGATGATTTTTGCTATGGGCCTGCAACCCCTGCTATATACCCCTGATTCCTTTTGCCATTCAGGACGGAGTTGCAAGCACAACGGAAGAGCTCAGTTGAGGACTTGCGCTGCCATGCAGACAGGGGTGAGCTTGTGGATTTGTTGGATTCTTGAACGATGGAGGTGGAGGCTAGCCTATGGGTATGGCAATGCGCTGAAGGATTCAAGTGCATATTATGGGAAGTTTACTATCAGGATGGGTGTGCCAATGGCTTCCATGCATATCATGCAGTGTTCTCCGCAGCTGCGACTGAGAACAAGGCGGGTGAGGAATAGCCAATGAATTGAGACAGCACAAAACTTGGGGATGCCCCCTAGTTTTTGGATCAACATATGTGCACTATTGTACATACACATATGATCCTATGTATATTAATTATATATTATGTAATTACTGTATATTATAATTATATATATATCTTATATCTTATCATAATATATGATATATTATATATATATATCACGGACACACACACACACAGACAGACATCATGTTTTGGAACCAGCGCTCACCTGCCATGAAGCAAACAGCATCACCATGCCTGCCGACATAGCCGCGAAGTGGTAGAAGGCTGCTGAGATTGGGACTTCAGGTGGTTCAAGGGACATATCTGGGAAATACTTAGGAACCCATAGGAACCCGATATGTGGCAGTGCAATGTGAACCCTTGATTGACAACGCTGGCTGATTAATTAGGGGGTTCCCTAGGGTTCGGCCCAAATAGTGAGAGTCTGCTAACGAGACCTTATTAGTCCAAGGCTGACAACTGGACCTCCCAGGTTGTCCATGGCGAAACGCAAGAGGGAGGAGACACCGGAGCCGTGCTTTGCCATGGTTTAAGAGGTTTTGCCAGTGGGTCCATCGTAGTTTAAGTGTTAAAAATCTCCATTTCCAGGAGCCCAAAGAGGTGCCAGATGACGAAGATGAGGAATCGGAAGAGGAATCGGAAGAGGAATCGGAAGGGGGACGGCTTTTGGAGTACCTGATTTAAGCCCAAGACATGACCATTATTTGGGGAAACAAGTGTTTAACCAACGGATGAAATGGGTGACTCATGGTTAAAGCATCCTAACTTTAATTCTCAGACAAACCAGTATGGATGTTGATGTTTTGCTGTACTGTTCGCACTTCGCTGAGAATCTCGAGCTATGAGATTTACTTTGAAAGATCCATTCCCCATAGAGTCTCTGAGACATGGTCCTGGTACGTCACGGTAAAGTCAGCAGTCAATACTTGGATGATCTTGGATGTATGGTCAGGAAGTTTTCCCCAATGGATTGAAGTCATGGTTTTTTATTTACAGTCCGGTGGATTTTTCCACGTCTACCAACTGGGATACGCATCCAATTATTATCTAAGTATAGCATCCCCAGGAGCTTGAGGACGAGGAAGACAGTGGCGAGTTGGACATCACAGTGGATGATGATGGACGTATATGCAGCCCAGAAGGCAGCAGTGGCAGCGAGTGATGCTAACGGTTATGCAATTCCCCCTTTAGCCTTTAACCGTTTTTTTTGTTGATGGGGGTAAGGCAAGAAATTTCTGAGAAATATTTCACTTAACCATGTGAAATATATCCCTCCACATGTTTCTTGGGCTTCCAAAAAGAGGTGAAGGGGTCCTTCGGATGCCACATTTTAGCCTAGAGATGGTATGGCAGACCCTTTCATTTTTCGCTGAAATATTTCTAGGTGTGTGGTAGGGGTGACCACCCCCTTTTTGACATATTTCAGTTTTTACACCCCAACCACCTATGTAGATCACACAGCTGCGGCATGCTGCGGCTATATTCATATCATGAATCTATTACAAGAGAACACACACACACATACAGAGCGCAGCATCCCCATCACCGCAAAAAAAAACACAATTGTATTCGCAGTATCACAGCCACCGTCAACCTTCAAGCCTTGTTTTTTTGGGGGGGTTGGACTCAAGTGCGCTTCCACCAATTTGCGGAGGCCAGCTGACCCAGTCGATTGTATTGGAGCCTCCAGTGCGGGTGTTTGATGATGTGCTGCCTGCCGAACACCTCGAAGCTCTGAAGGAATGCTGTCGAAGCTGTTTCCAGGTGAGCTATTGGCAGTGACGGATGATGTGTGGCAACGTATGGGTAAGTATGACTGCGTTTGAAGCTCGGAAAAAGGCATTACAGGAATCAAGTGTCGTTTTTTACAGCATCACAGGAGGTCACGCTCTGGCTGCACATGCAATTCTCATCAAAACATGAAACAGACACCCGTCAGCCACCCTGGGCACTGATGAGGCCAAGCCAAGCCAAGGGCGATGCCTGCCTGCAGTGCCAGTCGTTCCATTTTTGTATCTCTTCGTACAGTTTTGTCATGTTTTGTCTCAAAATAATCCTTTTCTTTAGAGATCTTTATTTTTTTTTCCGACATGATGATCATAAGCCATGAAAATTTGGTATACCCACCCATTTATGGCACTTTATTAATGGAGAACATGATGGTTTATCATGTGGATCCATGGGGATGTCCCTCGAAAAAAGCCACCAAGGATACAGCTCTGGAAAGACCTTCTGGTCCGACTGGAACCAAAGCCCTAGATGTGAATTGGAGGCTTTGGCGTGTCCTGGATGCCTTACTTTAATGATCTTTGATGCTGCATGTAGCTGGTGAATAGCTATGGTTAGAGTCCAGTTTACAAATTTCATCTATTTACATGTAATTGATATTAATAAATGCTAATGATATGTATTATATATATATTATGTCGATATCTTTGTCTATGCACATCTATATTACTGTATCTTTATTGGATATTGATATTATTATGGGCACATCACAACACTATCTGAGTTTGATCGTCCCCAGGCTTGCCATTTTACGGCGCCACTGTCCCGAGCCAGCTGCGCCAGCTGGAGTTGAGTGGTGGACCCTCTGCTTAGCTGCTCGGATGGCACAGTTTGACCAACACTGTCCGGCAAAATCCAGGTGAGTGGATCATGGATTCTGTTTGCCATAAGTTTGGTAATTTAACATAGCTATGGAAAATCACCATTTTTAATGGGAAAATCCACTATATATGGTCATTTTCAATAGCTATGTTAAATTACCAGAGGGTAAGTTTGGTATGGGAAAACATTGGTTGTGTCCAACCCAGCTGTGATGAATGCTAGAGAATCTGCCAAGGACGAGAGCTCCGAAGTCGCATGGCATTGGGATCGCGATTACACACTGGAGAGCTCCGGGGTGAATATCCATCCGATGCTTGGTACCGTGACCTATCTATCTCAAGGAGAAGAAAAACATCCACAATTGAGTTGCTCAGATGCAGTGAGAGCTGTTGGAGCTGTTGCTGCAATGGATCAATGGAACAAAGCAGGGGAACACAAACCATAGATACGAGCAAGTCTGACACAGATATGAGATTATGAGGGTGTCTGAAAATGGGGAGGGATACTAACTTCTTTATTATATGATGGGAAAATGAAGATCAACCTGTGGCCCGAGGGGTACCCAATTTTCAGAGAAACCCGTCTACCAAGTTTGTGACCCATTGCGGGGAAGCCTATCGGCAAGTCGCTAAAACGCCCTCTGCCTCTCTACTGGGGGCTTCTTTAAACAACAACAACAACAACAACAACAGCAACAGCAACAGCAACAGCAACAGCAACAACAACAACAACAACAACAACAACACATTTAAAAAACAACAACAACAACACATTTAAGGATGAATGACAGGGATTATGAGTATACTTACTTTCATTCTTATTCATTGTGATGAAATATGATGACTACTGTTATTGGATCAGCATTAAGTTAATTCTCATTGAATTTTGGATGCATATCAATTATATAATATCACAAATTAACAACACTTATCATCATCATCATCATCATCACCATCACCATCACCATCACCATCACCATCATCTACATCTATCTATGAAAACATACATTTCATATAGTATATAGGTTTATTATATAAATTATATTATATAGAGATATACTAACTATTATATGTCATAATAGTTACTAAACTTACTAAACCATACAGCACTATAAATACATATTTATAACCATATATATATATATATATTATAATAGCCATACAACTCTACATCCTCTCCACAGCCTGAGGCACCTGGACCTTGGACGTGCTCTCCTCCGTCCAGCGCACTGGGCAGGACGTGCTGCTGCCGCGCCAAAGTGCGGCTGGCAACGCTTGGTGCACCGTGGTGCCACCGAGGCGAATGGGAATGGTTTATATATATCACATATAAGAAATTCTATGTAAGAACAATGGAAATAACGAAAATAGTGCTCATATTTACCAATAATCCTGTAGATATTTGAGACCATCTATGAAAATGGTGATGACTGGGGGATGGTTGATGAAATTGTTTTAGCCACTATATATATACACCCTTTAGCCTCTGGTTTTTGAGTTTGTGACTCCAACTAATCAACAACTCCAGTGATGTAAGTTATGGATTGTAAACTAACTAATATCCAGATCTGGGAACTAGATGATTAGTTGATGATTACTTGGGGGATTATACTACCCTTTACCCTTTGATGATTAGTTGGGGGATGATTTGGAATGCTTTATATATACAACCTATATATTTATGGTGATGGCTGTTTTTTTAATGAAATTGTTTTGTAGATGAGACAAAAACCCAGTGACTAACTGAATATATGTCTAAGGCCTAGTCACCCTCTGGTAAATGAAGAGTTGGACCCAGTTGGACCCAGTTGGACCCTGAAAATCTCCCATTCTAGTGGTTTCACTCATCTGAACCAAACCCTATCTGGCAGGGTCTATGTTAATTTACTGGAGGGTATATACTGGGGATTCTAATCATCATCCAAGAACGGGGAATCCCGTTCTTAACCAATAACCAGGTCTAATTAGACTGACAGAGGGATTTTGAACACTGCGCAATTGTCAATCAAGACTCCAAAATCTTTGGCCAAAATCGACTGGTTCCGGACATAGAAATGTCCATCAAAATTCTACTACAGTATATATTTTGTTTTTTTGTCTTGGTCAACGTCCAATGAAAAACGCAGATTCAAACATAAAAAATACCATACACCTACCATTTGGGGATGGTTTATATAAACATGGTTAACATGGTGATTTTGGGGATGGTTTCTGCCATTGGGTTTTACCAGAAGAAATATCTTCACTTCCCCAATCCCCCCCCGCCAGCCCCGTCTTTGCCGCAGGGTGGGTCGGCACTTGGCCTTCGACGGCCGCTTCCTCCACGGGGCCTTTGATGCCGCCCCGAGGTCTGCCGTGGTGACCAGTGAGAGGGTGACCTTCTTGGTGTCCTGGCTGCCATCAACCATCATCACCATGTGGGTTTGGGATTGTTTACCATCCCCAGGTTTGGTAGGTTTATGGCATTGGGTTGCCAAAATGATGGCAATTTTTGGGGGGTTTGGCACCTAAACTTTTGGAGGAAACCCATTGGAACAACCTCAACATACATGCATGTGTAGGATATTACTATTGCATACTATTGCAAGGATGACTATACTTGGCCAGTTTACGGGTGAAGGTTATTTGGGGGGCTATCATAGCGATTGTGGTTATTTCCAAAATCGTGGGTGGTTACTCAGCCTTTTGGTCTCTTATTTTTCCAACTTTAGTTTTTAGCTGTTTTTAAGTTGTTATTATTGAATTTCCTATCAGATCTATCAGCCGAACAGAAGCTCACATGGGTACTTGATGCTTATGTTGGGGTACACAAGTGACAGGCTTCCGAATTGAGATATTGGGATGAATCACACAGAATTGGCTCATGGATGCTCATGGTTTTGAGATGTTTCTGTCTGTTTCCATTGCCCCATATTGCCCCCATGGGTGCAAAATGACTCTGCATTTAGCTAGGCTCATATTTCTGAGGGATTTGAAAACGATCACCAATCTGTGATTTCAGCCGCCCAAATGTTTGACAACAACGACGTCTGAATTCGGTTCCTGTTTGTACATCTGTATGCCGATGCTTTGGATCTGATGTGTGAAATCCTGCAGGGATTCCACCAATCCTAGTTTCAAGAAATGAGTTTTGCTATTATATATAGCATATTATAGCAACATTAGCAACCTCCCCAAAAAGATAGAAAAGATATAACCCCACTAAAATAGTGACAAGCTACTTTTCTATATGTTTTTTGTGGGTGACTATATCTCATGCTCGAAACTCCCGGTTTCGCGCTCGCAGGCAAATGTGTGGGTAGGTCACCAACCAGGCGTGGAGTGCCAGTTGACCTCCGAACATCCCAGTCACGTTAAACCGCTTGTAATGGGAATGGAATTCCCATGAATTCCCCACAGATGTGATGGAATTTCACATGGTTTCAACATGGCCTTAACCGTAGATTTTCCCTTAAATCCCTTAAACCATTCCATTCAGACAGTCACAGGCAACGCTTCGCCATTACCTGTGGAATTGCAGAGCTTCTCTGCGCAGGGCCCAGAATCTCTGCGCAGTGTTGAGAAGGCGGAGCTTACGCAGGGCACAGTCACCACATATCAACAGAAAGCTGGAATTCACATTATAGGACATATATAAGGAACTAACAGTACAATTAGTACTATCATGTACTATCTATTAGATGGACCTAATAATTATATGACCATTATCTAACATACATATTGGAATGTTGATTCTTGGCCATTCTCATGTATATATTATGAATATTGACGCCGTGAATACCATGATATATATATATTATATAAATATTATAACTGGTCATTCTTTATTGAACTAACTATCATGAATACTATAGATATTATTGGAATGAATATGAATAAAAGTAATTGCTTATTGGCTATTGATAGAAATTGTCCATAGTCATTGATTAATTGTCTAGTCGTATCTAATAACTAATAGTAGCAACAGTAGCAGTAGTAGTAGCAGTAGCAGCAGCTTGTACTAACCAATATCAAAGAATATCATTGGTATGAAACTGAGTAATAATTGTATTTACTGACTCGTCATAATCATAAGTATGGATAACTACGCATTGCAACTAACATTGACTATTGGAATACCTGTATCTAATATGAATAATCAATAATAACATATCTTGACGTTGAGAAGAATCCAAGTCAGAATTGGTTGCTGACCTGTCAGGCGCTGATTTCTCCTGCGCCGCCGAGGGAACCTAAGGTGGTGGAGGCATCATATCCAGCCGGGTCGGTCCTGTTCCCTAGTTCCATCATGGTGAGCTGCTATGGGGAGTGATTATGATGGGATATCTACGTATGGCATATCTATATATGGGACATCTATACATATATGGGATATTTATATGGGATATCTATACTTTATACCCTGTAGTTCCCATAACCTGTAGTAGCGATATCATCATACTCTTTGGTAATCAAACATGGTTTGCTGGAACACCCACCATGTCGTTCGAGGGTTTTCCGGGCTGGAAGCCTCCGTTTTTGGGATTTCTCATTGACATGTTTGATGACCGGAGGGTATATAGTTTAAATGCAAGGATGAGGTCAGAGTGAAAGGTTCACTTGCAATCCATGATAGCACCAGGGCAGTAAAAGTACCATTGATCTTTGAATATCTTTGATGATCTGAACCGAGCTTAAGGAGGCACGGCACGTTGTGTCAACTTGGGGGCAACCACCTCTCAACGTTTTTTGGGCCACGGAGCCTGTGTGGTTGTCCCCAATTTGGCCATATTGATCGGGAAAATGCTATGAGAAACCCCATCCTGGCAGTCAGTTGATTCCTGGCTTCTGTTCAGCTCGGTAGGCGGATGAAGAGTTGCGCAGCTTCAAACTGGAGGGTGGGCGACTTCAGATTGCCCCACCGAAATCTGCAGGTGGGCTGCGGTTGCGGGTCCTATCGGGTCCTATGGCAGAGTCAGTTTTGGGGCTTTCCGAAGCGAACTGATGCAGGTGGGCCCAGCCCCAAGTTATCATCCAAGTTGGTTGCTGGTGATTCTTTGACGAGGGGAAACCGAGTTGCAGTGAAAAAGGATACCCAAATTTTGAAACCCATTTGCTAGAACTGGATGGGAAACTTTACAGGGTTCGCCTCAATATCTGATGGAAAAAATGACTTCCACCGTAGATGCTTCCTTAAACCATCTTAAACCATCTTAAAACCAATCCATTTGCTGCGAAGACATGGTGTTTACGAGGCAAGAGAACATACTTTATCAGTTTCATAGACTCCGGCCGGTTTTTTCTAACATGTTTCTGGTACGAAGATCACAACATGTCTGAACAGCCTACGACTAGCAAATAGCATCCAAGACTTTACCTTCTTTTTCACCAACACTCAGGATCAAATACGTTGTCAGTTCTTTCACTTATGCCCTCTGGTAACTTAGCATAGGTATGGAAAGTGACCATGCCCAACAGGCAAAACAATAAATGGGTCATTTTCATCCATTTTCTATAGCCATGTTAAGTTGCCAGAGGCTAAGGCTTAGTTTATCTTAATTTATCTATCTTTGAGAAATGATGCGATTTCCAACCTCATACCCTTTGCCTTTACCCCAACAACACACCCTGCCAGGACCGGACTCCACAGAGGTCTGTTGCCACTTGACGCGAGCGACCTGGACTCCGGCTGCGAAGCAAAAGAGTCCTGGCGCGTGGAGCGGCAGATTCAGCCATTCGTCTTGACAAATGGGTATGTCTGAAAATGGGGTATACCCTCAATTATAGCCATTTAGTAGGGATAATGATCATTAACCATTGGGTGTAGGGGTACACTATTTTCAGACAAACCCAAATGTATTCAAGACAAGAGATTTACAATGATGCATTGAATACTATTGAATACTCTCTAGACTCTACATACAAAACTTCTCAGATCTTCTCAGTGCTATGAAATGAGTTGCAGGCGTCGTGTTGGGTGCAGTTTTTGTGCGCACACTGGTGTTGCGCGACCCATTGATGGTTTGGGTCTGGCTTTTTACATCTGAACTTTACTGCTAAATTTTATCCAAATTCGACAGGATTTTATAGGATTTTGACGGTCTCATGATTCTGATGTGGATCCAAAAGCCCGCAGAGCTGGCTTCGCAGGATAACAAAAACATCACGTTGATGCCACAGTCCATTGAGGTGGGGTGGTATGGCTTGACATCACTGGCCCTGCCTAAACGGAACTCCCCGTTTTGTGTTAGTTCCATGTTTCGAAAATCCAATGGTTGCCAGGAAACCATCATTGTAAGGGTGATCCAGTGGCTGCCCGCCATTAATCGTTTTTTTGGATCTTTCCAATGCACAGCTCCAACAGTGACTGATGCATTGAAATCCTTTGCCAGCTCACATATCACGTCAACTTTTGGCAATGTTGGACGAAAATATGGTCAAATCTATAGTTGTTAATCATCATTTTCCCATATTTTGCCTATAAAAATGGCTGTTGTGGGATTGTTGTGGGTATAACTGTAGAACCATTTTCAGACACAGCGGTTGGTTTTATGCCCCCGCAGATTCCACAAAACTTCTTAGCGCGTAGTGCTTTGGCACCAGGAGGCCTGCAAACGGGCGCGCAAGCTGACTGATGAGGCTCACGACTCCTATGATCATTGTTTTCTTTGATGTTTCTTTAGAAGATAGTTCTCCACATTTCATCACATTTTTCGGCGTGGTTGCCCCAAACTAGGAAATAGATGGAAATAGAACAACACCCACTTGCTTGAAGGGGGAGTAAAAAAAGAGCATGGCACTGCAAGAACTCGAGGATACCTGAGCAAAGTATTTGCAGTCTCTATCGGTCTTCCAACTGCCACTTGTGATCATTTGCTGTCACTAATCCGTGAGCTTGGAACATTTTCAGATTCCATCACTCCCACAACTTCACACACATACATTTTATTTCATCAGTTCATACAAACTACATGTTGATGTGTTCAATATATGATCTTGTCATATGATAATGATATATATAATTATATTATATATACATATTATACACATAACCACTGCCAGCTATCAACTCTGTATTCATAGATATCTCAGCCAGCCCCTCCAACCCCTCCCCTTCCAATGGGACAGGTGGCGGCCTACGGAACGGAGTTGCAGCGCGTTGCCGCGTTGAGGCGTCTCGGTGAGGCACCGTCACCTGTGCGACCAGGCCTGAGGGCAATTGGGGGATCGTTCAGTCATATATCATACACATTGATACAATACACATTTCATGTAGTATATATCAGGGGTTGGTAACTGCCCCATTTTGGGAATATTGGACATCACCTTATAGTAGCCATTATAGACCATATACCTAATGGTTGGGTGATGTTCAATGGGGACATTTAATGACCCATGTATATTATCATACCATGGACCATGTGTATGTAGGAATTATACACACATATACCATGTGTATATATATATATATGTGATATTATCATCATCATATGTATGAGATTGCATATACTGTAATATTAATGTAATACGCGTCATCAACATATCTCTTGGTCAGGCTCGCAGACGCATCGTTCCGTGCCCTTTGCCCAGGTGGGGAAGGGGCCCAGGTGAAATGGCTGCAGGCTGCAGGTGAAATGGGGATAGCCATAGCGATAACCTCCATTAGTTGGGATTCTACAATATTATAATTATAGATACATACATATATATATGATACAACCCTCTATTACTGTGGCTATATATCCATTTGGAACTGAAACTGCACCCGCAAGCAGTGGAAAATGGTGTTTGGGGATTTCCAGCTGATATCAGCTGATTGAATCATGATCCCCAGTAGAAAAATCGATTGTCGACCAGGCCAAATCGGCTGCGAGGAAAGTGGTGGCAAAGCTTGCAGGGCTCCTCAGATGGGGTGTCTATTCCCATGTCCCTGTCCAAGATGTGAATTGTTGTAGGAAACATCACTGTGAAACATATAAGTATATCATCATACATGCCATATATAATTACATAATATATATTACAGATTCATTCATATTTTACGTAAACAATAACAATGGTTTAAAAACATGGCTTCACCAGCCAGTTGTTTGGTGCTTTGACTTTCAACAAACCAATCCATTGAGCGATCTGAGAGGAGCTCAAGGAGGTGACAGAAAGTGTAAAGCTCCAGCTGAAGGACGAATGGCGAAATCGCCATGAAAAATGGGGCTTGAGTTCGCTGGGAAAATCATCTTTAAAATGAGGTTTATAGAAAAAAAAATGTAGCTGGTAAAATCATCTATGAATGAACATTTAAATTCATGGGAATTTTCCAGTGCTACATGTTTGATTACCGGACATGAGTATACCCATCTTAAATTGCCTACCCATCTTGCCATTTCAATCATATACTAGCAAAGGATGACGATAGACCATGGGATTTTGAGGTATCCCATTTTCAGACAAAGCCATATGGGAGTTTGTAAAACCCCCGTGCCTATTCGTTTAGTCTTCCATGATCCCCCATGAGCCATTTTTAGCTTTCACTCGAAAAACCGATAAGAAGGAAAAAAACGATCACGTTGGTTATGTTAATGATCTGTGTCCAGACTCTTGAACTCCAAAGTTCTTGATTTTTCCATCATTCTGCGGCTATTTAGTGCTTTTGGTCTCTTCCTTTCATTGTTTGTTGTCGTAATGGCGCAGATTCTGCACAAGGAAGGTGCCTGGTAGGTGGTCGCTACACTCCTTTTTTGATGATTGCCAGAAAAAAAGGAACACACACACACAGGATTCACGAACGATAACAAAACGATAACGAAAACGATAACGTTTGACATCAAAAATGGTCCGTGTGAGACACTGCCTTTTTTTTCTTTTTCCTCTCCCTTTCCCCTCCCTTTCCTTTTTCCTTTCTCTTCCTTTACTCTTCCTTTTCCTTCTCCTTTCCTTTTTCCTGTCCTTTTTCCTTTCCTTTTTCCTTTCCTTTTTCCTTTCCTTTTTCCTTTCCTTTTCCGTTTCCTTTTCTGTTCCTTTTCCTTTCCTTTTCCTTTCCCTTTCCTTTTCCTTTCCTTTTCCTCTCCCTTTCCTATTCTTTCCTTTCCCTTCCCTTTTCCTTTCCTTTTCCTCTCCCTTTCCTATTCTTTCCTTTCCCTTTCCTTTTCCTTTCCTTTTCCTCTCCCTTTCCTATTCTTTCCTTTCCCTTCCTTTACTATTCCTTTTCTTTTTCCCTGTTCTCGCTCATGTGCATTCTTTGATCAAGGTGTGAAGCCAGCGCTTGGAAAAACGATAAGAGGAAAACAAAAACGATAACGTCTGGAAAAACCATTTGAAAGGGCTGGGGGTTTTTACAAACCCCCATATTGGAAAATGATGATGAACTATCGGATATTTGGGTAGACGATCTTTGGACTATGACAAACTCATGGTTTTGATGTACTGATCAATCTGATCCATGGGGAGTCCTGTCGTGCCCCTTTTTTTCGGCGGAGCTTGAGATCTTGACCTTAAGACTTCACTGCGCTTGGGAGACCCTGAGGAGGAAGTTTCTTCAGAGAAAGATGTGGTGGTTTGCTCTCCAGCGAGGTGTCTCGTGGCGGTTTGCTGGTTGCACCTATGCATACTATTCACAAAGATATTGAAGTCAGTATCCATTGATATTCATTGTAAAATTGTATATCAAAAGTGATGACGATCCACAACTTTTGTTGTGCAGATAGTATACGTATTTTATTCGCCTTACGCCTATATGTATGATCATGTTTCAGTAGGATGAGAGGCCATTCATTTTTGGCTGTGAAATTCGGACAGGGAAAAAGGCTATGAGTGGTTTGCCATTGCCCCGGCATGCTCGTGACGTCGTGCATGGTGCTAATTGGCCGAACCACGCGCACAGAAAATCACTGATGACTCGAGACCCCAATGACTACTTCGTTCAGGGCTTTCCGGCATGCCATGGCATGCCCATACAGGGCCTTACGAGGCTGTACATAAAGCCGAAATTTGTCTACTCATCAACATCCCACGTCTGTCCTGGCCATGCTCCAGTACTACCCAACATTCTGCATCAGCCTGTCACTCGCAGGGCTCGTCGTTCGTTGCCCCTGGTGACTTGCGAGGATCGTGGGGTGGCCTGTTGCCAACCCTATGGCCTAGACTCAGACAGTCTGCTTTATCCAAAAATATCTAAAAATTACATATATATATATTATATACATATATATATGTATACACATTGCCAATTCAATGGGGAAAATGGTGATAATCCATTGGAACATTTTTGGGCCGACTCAATTTCCATTTGCCATCCCATGCGCACACCAAGCCACAAACCATTCCCCAATTGAATCATTTTGCTTGATACTTGGGTACACCATGGTACAGCCTATTTTTGATGATTACATGTAACATCATGGTCCCCAAATGGTTGGTGACTGGGATGGTTTATGGCATTGTGTCTGCTGTGTTTACCACAACGGGGTTCCCATGCATGCAACAGGCTTCCGCCAACTGAGCTGACCGGCCCTGACCAATCGTTCTGGCGCGGTCAGCTTCCAGACTTGGCAGCGCCCGCCCCACTGTCCATTCAAAAACCAGTTTTTCTAAGAAGGGTTTGATTGAAAATAGGCGATCCCCCTAGAATCCAGCGATTTATATGATGTTATATTATGTTATATTAATATGTTATGTATTCATTTCCAGTTTCTTCTAGCAAATTGCCATAGAAGCAGGGTGTACCCCATCTTAAGCCCAAGGTCTAGGGGATGTGCGTCCTGTCAGAGATATGGGATGATTTCCTTTGCCAAATATTTTGTGCTACCAAGAGAAGGCAGCTGACCAGTAGATTCCCACTTGATTCGCACCTGCCTGGTGTCAAGTGAGGCTTGAGGTAGACGCGTCCATTTGAGATGAAGTCATGATACAACATACACAACTAGACCATACACAACTATCACAACTGCTCAAACAGATTTATTGGCATTCTGTGTGTCTCCGAACATCCAGACATATCCGGACTCAAATCACAGTAGACACACTTTCCATATTTGTTTACGAGCATATTGACTTACTCTGGCTCTGCACGGTTCGGGTTTTGGCTTTGCAGCTTTATCCTTCAAGGACTTTTAATTGCAAGCCAGGAGCCCAGGACTGTGTATCCCTGCCGTCACTGCCGACTTTTCCCGGCAAACTTGGGGACCTAGGGAAACCCTGCAAACATCATCCAATCATCCATCAGCTTCAGTTGGTGAAGTTAGAAGATCCATCATGATATATCATGATATTTCATGATCCATCAAATTCCCGAGTCTCAAAAATCTGGTCAGAATTGATTCGCCACGGTTTTTTCACGGGCAATCCCTGCTTGTTTCGACCACCTCGATCGGCTCGGCGGCAATCGCAGTTTGTTTGGTTCACCTTTTGTGCAAGAATTGCAGTAATTGGCTGTCGTTTTTTTTCCCAGCCCCATGGCGTGCGCAATGTCGATATCTTGGATGTTCGGTAGTGGATGCATTTGGTCTAAATACTCAGACGGTTGTGTTTTTTTATTTGCAGATAATACATCTGCAATTTGTTGTGCAGCGCCTGAGGGTTGCTTCTCACCCTTCCATTCAGCCCAATCCAATTCAGCCATTGCTAAACTCCGCAGGGTTGGAGGCATTCATTTCGTTTCGAGATTGTCTCAGATAGCCACATTCTGGCGATATGCTTTGCTTTTGTGACTTCCAGTCCAGGGGATTCTCTGCAATTATTCGCTTGCAAGTTCTCATAAAATGCTGGAGCTTGGAGGGGCTGGTGAGTGTTGCTTGATCTGAATGCGACCTTAAATATGGGATGAATCAAAACCCACCATATTTATCTAGATTTTATGTTAGGATGGCTATATATATATATTTAGATAATTATATATATATATATATATGTTTAAATATATATATATTATATTTAAATAAATATATATATATATACATATTATATATATATATAATTTGCCGGCCATTGCCGGGTCCCGCGCCGCTACATCTGCGCCTATCTCCAGGCGCAACTGCAAGCAGTCGCTCGGGTTGGACAGCTCAGCGACACAGCCTACGCGGTGGATATGGATGTGTAGATGCCTACGGTGCTTAGTAGTTGAAGTACAATAAGTAAATATGGATAATGCCTAGTAACTTGGATATGTATATTTTTTTTTAAAAAAATATGTATGAAAAAAGTATTTACAAGTAGTATAATGAGTAAATCACTACTATGTATTTAATAAGTAGTTCATAATATTTGATATAAGTATGACAAATAAGTATTTCATAGTTGTAAATGTTAAAAGTAATGATAAAAAAGCAAGATGTTTTTCGTTTTTTTGGACTTTTGAGTCTCTTAGAACTTTCCATGACTTTCATAGCCCTCCATGACTTTTCCTGTGGGATTTTTGAGGTCCAAAAGGAACTCGGAAATCACGAACGCGAAATGGTCTGAGTCTCAGGGAGGATCATCCCTTGGAGCTCCAGACAGAGCACTGGCCGGCCAGCCATGTATTACTTGATTACATTAGAAAGTTACAGAACAAGTTACAGATATAGGTTATATTAGAAAGTTGTATTTACTATGATTATATAGGTTCATATTTATATTCATATAACCATCCATAATCCCAACTTCAGCGAGATCCACCAAGTAACTCTTTCCGGTGCAACATGTCGCCATTTGGAGCATTTTTTGAGGCGTTGCTGCGACAGGAACGCGAAAGCCTTCAGGTGGCAATGGGGTGGAAGTTCACACATCCACAGCTCAAAGTGGTAAATGCAAAAGTCACAACTCAATTCGTCATGAACTGCATCCGTCAGCTCCTTTTCTCATCTTCTTATACCTGACATGATTTGCCGTGGTAAATCCAAAACCATAAGCCACCCGCATCACCCCCAATCTTACGGGCAGAAAAAAAACATCATAAACAATCCCAATTTCTTTCACCACGTGAAAAAACCATCAACACTATCATCATTGTTGTTGTTGCTGCATCACTGGTTGCCAGTGGCATCAGTGGCATCTGAAGATCCCAAGACCGCCTATCAAGGAACCCCAAGAAACAGTAAGAAACCATGGTCTAGTAGGGGATAAAGACATGCATTTGGTACCATGGTGTCAGGAGGTGTCTTTCATATTTTTGGGGATGGATGGTGAAATAACCATGATGAAGCCCATAATGACCACACAATATCCTCACAACAGTAGATCTCACATGATCTCCCTATTATGTGCAATAATAGGATTTGATGGGGAATATTATGGGGAATATAATAGTAATCCCTATAATTTCCCCAGTATATCACATCCCCTCTGGTAATTTTGTCAACATAGCCATCAAAAACCATGGACCATTTAGTTCTAGATGATTTTGCCTACCAAAAACCCATGTTTTTTTTCGGTAGCTAACGGGTCACTTTCCCCAGCGCAAAATCCCATCCCCAGGGCCCCAGCGCATCGCGGCCAGGGCAAGCTTGCTGCGGCCGCCAACAACTCCATCCCCAGCTCACCTGGCGGGATGAGCCCAGTGGCGAATCGGCCACTTGGTGAATTTTCATGGTGAAGTAATGCTTGATATTGGTGAATCATGGTGAATCATGGGATTTTTAGTTTTTTTTTTTTTGGGGGGGATGGTATATATATATATAATTATACATTCATTCTGCTTGCAGGTTTTTGATTTAGAAAGCAACCGAAGTTTGAACGATCTGGCCGTCTTGGACCAAGATCTTTTTTGGGGTACTCATGCCATGGACCAGACTTCCCTGATCTTTTGTGGATTGTCTTTTCTGGCTGGGTTCTCAATACGTGGCTCCCTGATCGACAATCGACCGGAACCTCATACCTGCCAGTGCCAGTGTCAGTGGAGTGGGACGCCAGCCGTGGAATCTGCGAGCCCTGGTCAAGGACTGTCAGTCTGGATCATTGGCGGTGGGATTTGTGTGGTGATCATTTTGCTCCTGAGTAACGCTGCATTGGTTTGTAAGATTTCCTGGAAAGATACCCAGTCAGGCACAGATAGAGAAGTGAGTTTCGGTGTGAAAGGCAAAAGTAAAGGAGTGTACGGTGCCCCTCGCGGGCTTGCCCTGACGGGCTAGATCAATAGCTATGGCCTTTCAACCGGGCCAGTTGTGCTACCTCAACTACGGCGAGGCTCCTCCTGTCTATCATACCAGGTTGGTCTTGGGACATGTCCAAAACCATGAATACTTCATCCGAACCCCGGATGGGGATGAATACATTGAACATTTGGATGGCTCCAACACTGACCTCACCCAATTCTTTGTCGGGCCAGATGATGGTTCTCTCCCCGTGGGAGTTCCGGCGGCACAGGTCTATGCCTTCCAACCCATGACTGTGGCAGAGCTAAATCGCATCTTGGCCTCCGGCCGACAGTTGGTCGCTGCCGAGTTGCGAGCCCGAGGCTTGGCAGACCCTCACGCACCTCAAGCAGTGGGACAAATGGTTTGGGTCATGGCTGAGGCAATCCCTGGCAAGAAAATAGGCGAGGTTGTGAACCCTCCGGCGAACCACCCTCGTCTTGGGCAGTATGGATTGATGGAAGTCGCAGATGACAATGGCTCCACACGTCCTGTACTTATCCATCAGCTCTGCGTGGACGAGGTGGGTAAATTCTGTGAGGACCGGATTGGCTTGGCCAGAGCCAGTGAAGCAGTTGAGGGAGAAGATAGGTCAGCTGGGGAAGATGTGCGTACAATGGAGGTCAAGTATGCCTTCAATGGCGAAAGGCATCGAAGCTTCAGAGACAGCGTTGCCGAGATGCAGCAGGTGGAGTTCGATGACTTTCCGCTGGCTCCAAGGACATCCTTGGCATATTTGAAAGCTGTGTCCATGGTGGCGGAGTCTGCTTTTGGGCAGCACCTGTCCTGGGTGGCACAGAGTAGGATCCCTGAAGGTGACCGCGCCGTGCACGAGAACGAGATTCTGTCACGTGCATTGGACTTGGCGATATCGTATGACGCCCTCAATATCTCCAACCTGGCCTCCTTCGAACTGATCATCCGAAGAAAACAATTGTTGGCCGAAGCCCATGCTTACAATCCTGGGGCCCCGTCGTATGAAGGGGCCGACCACTACCTCGGCACCACATACCGCCCAGGTGGAGGTATCATCGTCCCAGAGCTCCAGAAGCACGTCTCAGAGAAGATGCACCAGGAAAGCCAGATCTTGAAAGAAAAACGCAAGCAAGCCGAGCTCAAAGGCAATGGAAAAGGGAAGAACAAGAACCAGCCTCCGCCTCCAAAACCCGAGCCAAAGGGGGCGGGGGCGCCCAGCAAGTAGCGAGGCCCTGGGTGCTCCTGTCTGCAGTTGGGGAGCACTTCTGAATTTACAACTGCTGGTTTTTGTCCCTCTTCGGATCTTAGAGCTGGTTTTTAGTTCTGAGCAATGGGGAGGAAGTGGCATAGCAAGGTTTTTCATGAACCAGGCGGGGGTGATCACAGAAACCGAGACATCTTTCCGCTTCCAACTTTGAGTGGGGGTGGCGAACTGCCTGAGGGAGTGTGCCGGGCTTCTGCCAGACGGTTTCAACGCCGTGAGCACATCCGAAAGCGTGTGAACATGGCCATTCATGCGTTGAATTCACTATTTTTTGGTCGAGTTTGTCCAGAGGCGGGTGAGATTGGCAACCTTTCTTCTCTGCCTCTGTGCCAGCGTGAGTGCATCAGAGGCTTGGTGCAGAGAATCCAGGCTTTCGGTGCTCCTCCCTCGACTGCAAGCCGCCAAGGAGCCCTTGCGGTGCTCCGGGCAGCCAGCAACGGATACCAAGAGCCGGAAGCTGGCGTTGGAGAAGTCGTAGACTTTGTCCTGGATCAGCTCTCACTTCCATCTGGACGGGTGGCTGGGGTGGACCTTGAATCCTCTCTGGATGGCCCTCTTCAGACTATGGTTGCAGATTTCGAAAACTGGATGTTGCAAGATGCGTCAGCATGGAGTGATTTGGCAGAAGAGGCCCATAAGATTAAACCCTATAACGACCCTAGTTTGTCCGATAGGTCCCAATATATTTCCTTTCTAAAGCATGTGAACAAGTGCGGCATTTTGGGTACCACGGCTTGCTGTAGGGGTAGGGTTGGTGCTTTTGCGGTTTCCAAAAAGCCAAAGTTTGATGGTGGGGTTTGGAAGTTGCGGCAGCGACTCATTTTAGATTGCCGACAAGTGAACCTGCAATTCAAAGCTCCTCCTCGGTGCGAACTAGGTGCTCTTTCAGCCCTGTGCGAGATTGTCCTTGGGGAAGACCAGACTTTGTATACCAGTGGGGCAGACATACAGGACTGTTTCTATGCAGCACGTATTTCGAGCGAGATGTCAAATTTCTTTTGCCTGGTCTCCGATATCAACCTATTTGAAGCTAGAGTGGTGTTCGGCGAAAATTTTATTTGGGAACATGAGCATGATCGTATATCTCCTTGCATTACAGTGCTTCCCATCTCCTTGCATTACAGTGCTTCCCATGGGCTTTTCTTGGAGCTTCTATATTATTCAGAAGTTGCATGAGCAGAGTGCTTTGAGATCACTGCAGTGTGACCGGTCTTCATTGGTCCTTGACGGATACCCAGCCCCTGACCTGGCAGGATCGAGCGTCGTGGCGATGCCCTACTGCGACAACCTGCACAGTTTGTCGCTCAGTGCAGAGGCGTGTCAAGCGGGTAAGGCTTCGATGGCAGCAGATCTCTCAGACATGGGGTTTAGCTTGCATGAAGAAGTCGATGCTACAGACTACTTTCCTACGTTGGGTGGTATTATTGATGGTTCTAGTGGGGTCATTAAATGTACACCTACACGGGGATGGAATATCATCTATGCTTTCGAAAGTTTGCTTGATGGGCCTGTTAGCTGGGAGACTGTTCGGAGATTGTTGGGACACAGTATGACTTTGTGCACTTTGAATAGATGTGGTATGGCCGTTTTTCGATCTCTCTATGATTTTGTTGAAGCAGCCCCTCAACCACGTCCTTTGAACCACAAGGAAAGGCAAGAGGTTCTGAACTTTGTCGGTATAGTGCCATTGTTGGTAGGGGAGTTGAAAAGAAACTGGTCTTCAACTGTTACATGCACTGACGCTAGCCCTGACGGCTACGGCATCTGTGAGCGACAGCTTGATCAAGAGCTGGTGCATGACATCGGCCGTTGGCAGGATCGTTGGCGCTTTCGTCATCTTGGCCCAGAAGACTGGAAGCCTAGAGAGCGACTGGCAGGACTGGATCCGCTGCTGGACATTCGGACTGCACGGACTTTCCGATCACCTCAGACAGTGGAAGATATGTATGCCTATAATGATTTTTTCCCTGAAGTTTCCGAGCACATCACTCAACCAGAACATTGGCAGACCAAGTTGATGGGGAAATGGGGTAATAGATCCGAGCACATCACTCTAAAGGAGGGTAGGGCACTAGTTTTGGCGTTGAAGAGAATGACACGAACCTCAAGTACTAGGAATCAGCGTCATTTGGTTTTGGTGGACAATTTGGGCTTGTGTTTGGCGGTTTGCAAGGGTAGGGCTTCGAACTTTCACTTTTTGAGAATCATGCAGCAAGTGTCGGCTTTGAGCCTAGCAGGGGCTTTCACTGTCCGAGCGCGGTGGATTCGCTCAGAGGCAAATGTCGCGGACGGGCCCTCTAGGGGCCAGATCCGTCCGGGTCCTTTCCTTGGCATCCCATCAGATCAGAAGCCAAGACCCGAAAGCAAAGGGATCTCTGATCAGAAAGGCAGCCGACGTTGTGAAGAAGAGTTCTCGAGTGTTGAGGGCGCCCCTGCTTTCACCTCCAGTGAAGCCATCCTCGAACAAGAGGAGTTTGGCGGGCAACCGTGCGTCGGCTCCCAAGAGCTACAAGGCCCAGAGGACCTTGAGCCGCACCCAGGAAGTGGCTTTGGAGGTGGACAACCTAGCAAAGGCCAACAGGCTCACGACCCTGGAGCGGAGGTCGGTCAGCCGAGCCATCGAGACACAGTATGCCAGCTACTACCGGAGATTCGCGAGTTTTTGCAGGGAGAACAGCCTAGACCCACCACCAAGTCCACTAACGGACGGCCATCTTGCAGAGTACATGGACATCATGTTTGCCGAGGGCAAAGGCATGAACGAGGGAGAGAAGACCCTTGCCAGCGTGGAGTACCACCACTCCTCCCTGAAAGGAAAAATGTTAAGGTCAAGAAAGGCTTTGAAAGGTTGGCGAAAAGAGATGCCACCCGCATCTCGGCTCCCTTTGCCAAAGGTGATAGCATATGGCATGAGCATGGCCCTCCTCGCGAAACAGAAGAAGGGGATGGCGCTAAAGCTCATAGCCGACTTCGACACCTACATGAGGCCCGGAGAGAGCCAAGATTTGAAGGTCAGCAGCTTGGTGGCTCCAGTGAAGAAAGCTGGCCCACAGTACCGCTGGTTCAGTGTGGTGGTGCGGCCTTTCGACGACCTGAGACCAGACAAGGTGGGGGTGTTCGACAACAGCATCCCATTCAACTCCAAGGGCAGAGAGTGGATAGGAGAGATGATGCAAGCCCACGTGAAGAAGCTGAAGAAGAAAAAGTCCGACCTCATCTACGACTTCACGGCCGAGGAGTACCGGAAGGAATTCCAGAAGGCTGGTCAGATGATGGGGCTGGAAGGTTTGCATCCATATCAGCTCCGGCACGGGGGCGCTGCAGAAGACCTCAATTCCAAGGCCAGAGATTATCCAAGTGTAAAGGCAAGAGGCAGATGGCAGACAGATGCCAGTGTGCGAAGATACACAAAGGTGGGCAAGGTGCAGCAGCTGTTGAACCAGTTGTCAAAAAGACACGTGGAGTTCTGTCTCTGGTCAGTTCGCAACCTGGAGAAGGTGTTTCGGGATCAAGTTCTTCCCCGAAGCCCGCTGAACTGAGCCGTAACTTCAATGTGTTCAAAAACAATACTTTGCCTCACAAATTTTGCCTTGAAGTGTTTGCTGGTACAGCACGTATCACAACCTCCTTGAATGCACGTTCACTCCCCGCTTTTCCCATTGATATCTGTTTGGATCCCTTACATGACGTGCTCAGCATACATGTGGAACATCGTATTTTCAATTGGATATCCAGCGGGCGAGTTCGTTTTATTTGGTGTGGTATGCCTTGTACCAGTTTCTCCAAAGCAAGAAAATGGGATGGTTTGGGCCCTGGGCCCCTGCGAACTTCACAGCACCTTTGGGGGCTGCCTGGCCTCAGCGAAGCAGACAAAAAGAAAGTCGCCACTGGGAATCGGCTTCTGCACTTCACAGTACGGCTGCTTACGCAATGTGTCAAGCACAGCGTTTTGTATGTGTTGGAGAACCCCAACTCTAGCATGGCTTGGGATATGCCTCCTCTGAAACGATTTTTGCAAAGTCACCATCCCTTTTCTTTTGTTTTAGACTACTGTCAATTTGGGGAGCCTTGGAAGAAACCAACAAGATTGCTGGCAAACTTTGATCTTTCACCTATTGCTTTGCGATGCAACACTGTTGATGACAGATGCAGCAGAACCAAACGGCCACATGTCGCTCTGGCAGGACTGGACAGCTCTGGCATCTTTATGACCTTGCGAGCTCAGCCCTACCCGATCGAGCTTACCGAGAAGATAGCGTCGCTTGTGGCCGAGACCCTTAAGGGCAAGGGGTGAGGGATTGGAAAGCTGCATTCAGAACACTTCCAAAGGAAGTACTCCACAGTTCCAAAGAACAATTTGAATGGAACCTGAAGCAGCAATCTTTCAAACAATCGGGCATAGCCCAGTCTGGCCCTTAGTGAGAAAGAGGTGCTGCCGGGATCATTCATTCTGCTTGCAGGTTTTTGATTTAGAAAGCAACCGAAGTTTGAACGATCTGGCCGTCTTGGACCAAGATCTTTTTTGGGGTCCACCACCACCCCACCTCCACATTGGAAAGCTGCATTCAGAACACTTCCAAAGGAAGTACTCCACAGTTCCAAAGAACAATTTGAATGGAACCTGCAGCAGCAATCTTTCAAACAATCGGGCATAGCCCAGTCTGGCCCTTAGTGAGAAAGAGGTGCTGCCGGGATCATATATATATATATTATATATATATTATATATATATTCATTTTTTGTGGCATGTTCATTGGGTTAAGAATGGTGAATCATGCTTATGATGATTAATGGGATGTTAATGGGTTGAGAAATGGTTAATGGTTATTGATGGATTAATATTTGTTCGTAATGGTTAATAATCATGGTTGGTAGATATTGATTTTTTTTAAATGGGATGTTAATGGGTTGAGAATGGTTGAGAATGGTCAATACTGGGTGAATATAATTGCTGTGTTCACGGTTAAGTTCATGGGTAATTTCTATGGGATAGCCACTGGAAAAAACCTGGCTGGTCCTCAAATGACGTTGTTTCAGGTTGGTGAATTGTTGTCATTGCTCACATTTTGATTGAGCCAGATAGGATATCATAGTGCCACAGGAAAAAATCCATGTAGATACAGGTGACGACCGAAGCATCATTGGATATTTTCTGGAGGGGAGAATCGTGGAGAATCAGGAAAGCCAATGGGGTTTTCACCGATCCTGAAGATTTTCTGCCTAGACATGTTCGTTTTTTCGATTCGTGGAGCGACAAAGAATGGTGCATGCCATTTGCGGCACCTTTGGCAGATTATACAGCGCCTGAGGTTGAAGATGAAAGAAGCGGAATTGCAGGTGGAACTGTCTGCGGGAAGCTTCAACTTGACTGCGAGACAAAAAAACCAGGAAATATGGAAATTGCAAGATTGGATGACTTCTTCTTGCTTCAGGGTCTAGTGCTGGAAAAGATAGCTGTGGCAGTTGCAACTGACACTTCAAGACTCTTTAGGTAATTGCTTTCAGAGATGTTGCTTGTTTTTTCATGTTTTGTTTTGTTTGTTTTTTTTGCTTTATAATCTACACCAGCGCTCTGTGTTTTCTACGCTTTTCATGGCAGATGTTCCGCAACGTCCATCAGGAAGCAAGGAAAAGACTTGCGCAGAGCGAAGAACGTCGGGGACCTTGCTGGAAATTTCCACCATTTCGTTTGATGATGTTTGATGATTTCCCAGAAACCTCGATTTTTAATGGGGATGTTCAATTGCCGCGTTACCAGAGGGTATATTAATATTGTACAAATTTATACATATCCCGGGATATAATTTGGGCGTACAGCCCTAATAATAAGTGATTGGTGTATATATATATATATTATATATGTATTATATATATGATAATGGGTATTTGATCGGATATCATATGAGGTTTATATCGAATAATGAGGCATATATCTATAGCTGGCTGCTGGTTCTGAAGATGTTGATGTTCTATGTTTAATGATCCCTAAAGATCGGATGATCAAAATTCTTTGTTCATATTTTTTGGGGTTGAAACCACCAACTAGCGGTCAGGTATGGTCAGGTGCTGAAATAGATTGTAGTTGGGGTAAATCTAGCCACAGGATCCGGAGCTAGGCAGGGTGAGGTGTGGTGCCACGTTTTATGATTCCTGGTGATGGTTCGAAGATGTTGGAACATGTTGGAACATGTTGGAACCATTTCCGACAGATATGGCTATGGATCATTAATATTTCATCGTTTTATTTCCAAAATCTATCAAACATCTTACAAAAACACGCCTTTCTTTTTGATGATGAATATCATGGAATATCCATTTTTCAGCATTTACCAGCTATTCTTCCAGGCACGACCCCAGAATGGGAACTGAGGTTTTGTGCACCTCGTAGCTGATGGCAAGCCGCAAAGCGAGGACGGAAAGGTGGAGGAATGGTGGGATGTTGGAGCAATTCTCCCAAAACAAAGTCAGTTCAGGTTGGTGAGTGATTATGATATATGATGTAGGTAAAACAATATCATTTTTACCACCCATGACTGGGAATGGTTTATACCATTTTATACCACCTATTTGTGGTGATGACTGGAGGATGGGTTATGGCGTTGTTTTACCCACATTAATTACGTACGCCTCGCCGTAGATGATGGGGAACGTAGGGGGAATCATCCCCAAATGGCCTTAAATCTGGTTTTGGAAATGTTATCATTTGCACACATATACATATATATATATATATTATATATAATTATATAATATATATATATATATAATGATTGATTATGATAGAAATTTGGTTCTGATTTAGCTCTCATAGGAAAAACCATGCCCAACTGTTATATACAACTTCCGGTATTAAATCATGTTTGAAACTGCATCCTCCCAGTAAAACGTTACTGACCGCAGGAGCTGGGGAAGATGAGACACGCTCGCACGGAAATCTTACCCCGTCCACTGGCAAGGTGGGGATCGATCAAGTGTTTGTCTTGTTGTTGCAGTTGAACACCAAGGAAAAACAAATTGATGATGATGATGATGATGATGATGATGATGTTGATGATGATGATGATGAGGATGACGATGACGATGATGATGATGATGTTGATGATGATGATGTTGTTGATGATGATGATGATGATGATGATGATGATGATGATCAAGCTGGTGGTGGTGGTGGCGGTGATGCTGGTGATTCTGATGCTGGTGATGTCTTGTCAACCTTGGTGTCGGGTCATCACATCCTTCACGGCTGAACAAACCTCCAATCGCTGGTACCAACCAGCGACATCAGGCCTGCGCAAGGGCTGTCTGGCTTGGTGAGGCAGTGATGCTATGCACAGTTCCTGGATACAGTAAGATTGATGACAAATAGTATCACAATGATAAAATAAAGCATATTATACTGTTTATATACGATATGTAATAGATATACATATGTGTCTCAGTATCAGTATTATTCCATTAGATGGGTCAAGATTTCTTGTCTGTCAATGGACAGCTTTTGTGCTCCAACAAGACCGTTTTAAGATTTTTTAATGGAGTTGAAATGTAATTTGAACATATGACATTCCCATTCCCATGATATATATATATATATATACACGTGTATATAATTATATATATGCCAGACATATCCAGAATCTATGGCCTGTTGCAGTGCTTTCGGTGAATTTCTTCAGTCAAATGTATTCGCGACCCTCTCTGAGCTGTCTTGGCTTAGCCAAAATGCGAATTCAGCGCGATCCGGTTGATGTACGGAGTGCCAAGAGGATCCAGCAAGCAAAATGCTGGGAAGAGGGTATGGCCATTCTTCAAGAGGTTTCTTGGCGAAGACAGCCTCACTTTGACTTTAACAATCTTTAACTGTTCAGCCCGGGGTAGGACACTTAAGTTCTGACATGTTATCACATTAGATTCCATGCTCACCTGACAGGATTCGCTGACTACCTTTGACCATTGCTTTCTCTGGAAGGTTTTGCTCCACTATGTGCTTAGTTAAGGTCGTGCATATATGGCTATGGAAAATATAGATGAGTCACCTATATTAAAACATGTTTGAACTGCTGATTTCCCATAGCAAAGTGTTCAATTTGTTCCATTGCCAGAGCGGTGTGAGTAATGCACAGCTCGATAGGCTCGATACAACCGAGGAGACGAGCATGAAGTTGCAGCCAAGCATTTTCACCTACACCGCAGCCATCAAGTGCTTTGATTGAAGGGAGGATTGTGAGGAGTGGTGATTGATGTTGATTTTGGCAATGATATGGACAAGTTAAACAGGAATCAGACATTGAAGTGTTCAAACATGCACAGGACATACGTATATATATATATATTTGCACAACACAAGTATCAAGCTTTCTGTATTGGCTTTCCCCTCTTTTTTCTTGTGGATGATTGTGGAATTCGCATGTCAAGTCTCGGCTGTTGTCGCAAGGTCTTGTGCATCCCATCATGCAGCGCTCCTCGCACTTCTCAAACACATGGACGACTGGGGCGTGGAGCTGGACACAGTCGCTGAACAAAGCATGACGCACGTCAATCCGTATGTAATCTATGCATACCTGATTGCTATCAGTATTTTTTCATTCAAAACTTCAGCATTTGTCGCGAGACTTTGAAGAATGACCCTACTTATGATATTGTAGTTATACTACCTGGTTTCATGGGTATTTCATGGAATTTCTATAACCCATAATGCGGATACTACCTCTTAAGAAACCATGACATACAACCGCACTGTCGAAGTGTCGAGGTCGCTTTCAGTGCTACCATTTGGGCCCTGGGAAATGACTGGAGCATGGCGCTAGCAATCTTGGTTCCTCATCGGCAGATCTGATTTTCTGAGTCCGTCCTGAAGATTCTTTGCCCCTCGATGGGTCTTGAAAGACAACCTGATGCTGACCGATATTGATTGATTTAGCACCAACAAGAGTACACAAAAGTGCTGGATGTTGTAAAGCAGCACCACAGCTCCACTTTCAGATTCTGAATCTGACATCAGCAAACTCTGTCAGGAGAGAATGATCCGTGGCAGTGTTGAGATCAACTCTATCACATGCAATGCCATGATCGGCTGCTGTGCCCAAGCAGGCCAGTGGCAACATGCTTTAGATGTGCTGCTTGGATGAATTTGGATTGGCTCATGGTAGTTGCAGTGGAATCAGTCGCATCACCAGATCACCAGTTCGTGTTGAAGATTTTTGAGACAGTACGTGGTTCTCAAATCTATCAATTTGATTCAATTTACGTGGCACTACGTGGTTCTCAAATCTAGACAAATTTGGCTATCAATTTGGCCATTTGGCCCATTTGTTGAGGTTTAGCTTGCAGAAGGAGTTGCGTATCCAGACTGATGGTTTCACATACACTTCAGTCGCAAGTGCTTCTGGCAAGAGTGGCTCGTCCGCAACCAGTTGGCTGAACATCTCAGCAGTCTGGGGATTGCATTTCCACTTAGTCACTACCCTCATTATCAACATAATATTATCTAATTATTAATTAATTATAATTATATATATACGGCAAATGCCTGGGCTTTGCGCGGACCCGCGATGACGACAGGCGACGCATCATCATCATCATCATCAAACCCTTATTGAAGATCTTCAATGAATGTAGAAGTTTAACGAAGGTGGGAGAATTAAACCCTTTTTGAAGATCTTCAATGAATGTAGAAGTTTAACGGGGGTGGGAGAATTAAACCCTCATTGAAGATCTTCAATGGATGTAGAAGTTTAACGGGGGTGGGAGAATTAAACCCTCATTGAAGATCTTCAATGAATATAGAAGTTTAACGGGGGTGGGTGAATTAAACCCTCATTGAAGATCTTCAATGAATGTAGAAGTTTAACGGAGGTGGGAGAATTAAACCCTTATTGAAGATCTTCAATGAATGTAGAAGTTTAACGGGGGTGGGAGAATTAAACCCTTGAAGATCTTCAATGAATGTAGAAGTTTAAGGGGGGTGGGAGAATTAAACCCTTATTGAAAATCCTCAATGAATGTAGAAGTTTAAAGGAGGTGGGAGAATTAAACCCTCATTGAAGATCCTCAATGAATGTGGAAGTTTAACGGAGGTGGGAGAATTAAACCCTTATTGAAGATCTTCAATGAATGTAGAAGTTTAACGGGGGATGGAGAATTGAACCCTTATTGAAGATCCTCAATGAATGTAGACGTTTAACGGGGGTGGGGGAATTATAATCTTATTGAAGATCTTCAATGAATGTAGAAGCTTAACGGGGGTGGGAGTTTAATATTCCCTAGTACCTTTGTTATTTTTCCCATAGGAAGTTAAGGTTTAATGGGGGTCGGAGTTTAATATTCCCTAGTACCTTTGTTGTTTTTCCCATAGGAATTTTGTGAAGTTTCATCAACATGTGTTTGGGAATGGGAAACCTCTACGCTTTGCGCGTATATTATATATATATAGTATATTATATCTGGACAAATTATAACAACCTCACTGCGACGTCACTGAAATGATGGTTA